GCCCTTGGCTCGCGAGGGACGTCCCAGCGGATCGTGGCCTGGCCGGCCCCCCTGAGCGGAAACGGGCGGCCGTCCCAGCGAACATGGCGCAGAAGAAGACGGGCCGCAAGGGCCAGGATTTAGACCCGCAAGCCAAAAGTTTCCCGCTGCGCAGACTGGCTCTTATCGGAGGCTGCCACAAGGGTTCGTTGGACAAGGTTGGTTTCGCTGGACTTGAGGCCCCCCCATCCCGACCTGAGGCACTCCAGCACGACCTGAGGCGCCCCAGCAGCCGTCGAAATCACCCTTCTTGAACCAGACCTTCTCGCCGTCCTCGATCTTACCCCTAGGTCCAGAGACTCGTCAATAGCGAGTCTGAGGTTTTCACCCTTTTCAGAGCCTGGGGCTGTCAAGAACGAGAGACCCTTCCCAGGAGAGGGGTCGAGGAGGTCCAGGGCAGGAGCTTCGAGAAGATAGGGGTCGTCGGAGGTCTGGGTGCCGCTGCACTTCACTTGGCTTCGCCTCTCTGGGCGTGCCTGATGGGCCCTCGGTGCCGCGGCCAGGTTCGCCCCAGAAGCCTGGTCAGGGCGCGCCCCGGGGAGTAGGCCGTCAGCGAACGCAGCTGCATTTGGCGATGACGACTTGGAAGCGTGGCAGCTCAACACGCTCTGCGTGACGACGTGCGTGACGGCGGCGGGCGTCGTCCTGCAGAGGTTGCCGACGACAGTCGTTCACAGCCGAGTCGTATTCGTATTCGCCAATGGCGTTGCGGTACACCTGGGGCGCTGACGCAAGGAAGGGACACTTCGGGATTGGACGGGTCTCGCTGTCCCTGAGGTCCTTCCACGGTTAGCCCTCTAGCGTTCCTGGGCGCTCTAGAGTTCGAGAAGCGGCTTCGTTCCTCAAGCAGCGTTCTCTCTGGTCTGAGTTTGGCCACGGGGGTACACTCGGACCGAAGTATGAGATCGAGGTCGGTTCGGGGAGGGTACCCTAGTGTTCATCGTGCTTCTTGGATGTTCTCTGTGTTTTGGCCGACAGGCCCTCGTGTTCTTGAGGGATGTTCTTCTGGCCTAGGTCTGACTGTCGTAGCTTGGCCATGGCGGTAGTTTTTGTACCCACAGGTCCACAATGATTTCCCGCAGATGTCGCCCCGAGAGGGCCTCTCGTGACTTTTTCGGCGTCCGGAGGCTGCTTCTGGGCCCCAGGACTTTCTGGCACTGCCAAGAGTCGACATGAGGTGAAAAATGGTCCGCAAGAAAATTCCAGATCCCACGATCCTGGAACATTTATACGGTAGGTTCGCGTCGTGTCGACCAGCGGCGACCCGGCCGCCGGCGTCCAACGTTGAGCGTCGCTGGCGATCCCGAATTGGTCGATGTTGGACGATCTCACGTTTCGGGCCGATCGTTGAAGGTTCAACGATCCCCGCAGTGTCAGAGTTCAACGCCGAAGTCGGCATGACCAGAACCTGCCGTAGGCTCGAAAATGAGCGCGGATTTCTTGGATTGGCGCTGGAGCCCCCCTGGCGGCGCCTCTGGCGCCGCCCCTGGCCGCGCCCCGGAGGGGGTTCCCTCGCCGAGAAATTCTGCGAACCGTCGAAAGTTTGTGTTCATGTGTCTCTCATGCTGATTACGCGGCCTGGGAGATTGGGGAGGCCTCGCGAGATGTGAGGTGCAGGGTGCTCGGAGCGCGTCTTCCTGGCCTCCCTCCAGGACTGCATCATACGTGTAGATGTGCTGGCCGAGGCACCGGTCGGTTTCAACGCATTGGGTGGCGTGGCCGGCGTGGTGCTTCGGGAGCGCGTCGATGTCGGTCTGACCTGGGGCCCTGCAGGGGCCCACCTGCCTGCGTCGGCCTCCGGACAGGCGCCAGACGTCCAGTGTTTGCTCTCCTCGCGCACGTGCGCACGCACGTCTGTGCGCTACGGTTGAGTCGGCCCTGTCCCTTTACAGGATGAACATTCAGAAGTAGTCAAAAAATAGTATGGGGACGGTTTTTGCAGATTTTTTGTGTATTTTTCATTTGTCGTCGAAAATCGGCCTGTAGGGGTACGTGCTGACCTGATGCTACGGGCTGGCCACATCCAGACATCCTGCGGGCGGAGGTGTGTTCAATCCTGGCGTCCTTCCCGAATGTGTCGCCCTCCGGGGCTGCGTTTCCAGCCCCATGAAAACTCGGCCCCGGGGGGGTGGGGGCCCAGACCCCCTGTGGCCGCCGACCAAAAAAAAAGCATCGTCCGATGCCTGGGGGTGGGCCTCCGCTTCGTCGCGTCATCGCCATCGGCGGAAGCCGGTGGAAGGCCGGCGGAAGCGAAACGGCGGCGGGTCCGCTGGCGGAGGAAAACTGGCTCCCCCAAGAGATGCAAGGTTTGGGGGGGTTCGTGGCTTCCCGGGCTGGCCGGACAGGAGCCGGTCACCAGGGATTACACGATCCACATGCACAAACTGCTGCACAAGGTCCAGTTCAAGAAGCGCGCCACGAGGGCGATCCGAGAGATCCGAAAGTTTGCGACCAGGTCGATGTCGACGAAGGACGTGCGCATCGATACAAAGCTGAACAAGTTCGTCTGGAGCAATGGCATACGGAACATCCCGAAGCGCATTCGGGTGCGCATGGCTCGCAAGAGGAACGAGGACGAGGATGCCACTGACAAGACGTTCACTCTGGTCCAGCACGTGCCTGTGGAGAGCTTCAAGAACCTTCAGACGGAGACAGTCCGCGATGATTGAGCCGAGCTCTCTCCAGCTCCCTGTCGAAGAAGAACAAGCGGCATACACACGAACTTTCGGAGCTCCGCTGGGCCCCCCTGGCGGCGCCTGTGGCGCCGCCCCTGGCGCGCTCACTCAGCGCGCAAGGGAGGGGGGTCCAGCGCAGGTCCTAGCAACCCGCGTGGAGCTCCGAGAGTTCATGCCACGGCTGGCGTTGCCCAGATGACGTGCGATGTGGTGTGCCGCGGGCCCGCTTTTTACAAGCTAACAGCATAACGTGCACGGAGGAAGCCCTGGCAGGGGAACCGCGCACACAGAGCGATCCCTCGAAGGGGGTTCGCCTGCCAGGTATAGCGTGCACGGAGGAAGCCTTATTTTGAGGGATGCGTGCCTTTCGGTGATCGGTGTTGCACGCCGTCTTCGCGACGCCAACCGTGTGCAGTTTGTTGCTCCTCCATCCTTTCCTCCTGGGCGCAGCTCTGCGGATTGCCTCCCTTGGCCAAGTCCTGAGCCTTCCAGGCCCGACATCGGCGCCGCGTGCTCGTGTCCGCCACGGCGCGCCCAGATGCCGTGCATGCTTGGCTGCCGCGTCCGCATCGTTGAGGAGAATATGCCCTGGCTCGAAAAAGAAAAGCGGCATAAACACAAGTCGGCGGCGAGCGAAGGGGGGGGGAAGTGAGAAGGAGAAGGCCTTCTCAGAAGGCGGCGGGACTTCTCAGAAGCCCTCGCGCCTTCTGAGAAGTTTTCGGTGTCTGCGGGGAAGGCTTAGAAAACTTCTCAGAAGGCCGAGGGACTTGCGAACCTTCTGAGAAGGCCTTCTCCTTCTCATGTCCCCCCCTCGCTCGCCACCAAGTTGAGGAAAAGATGCCCTGGCTCGAAGAAGGAAAACGGCATGAACATAAACTGTCGACAGTCCGCGCGGATATCTTGGATCGGCGCAGGAGCCCCCTTGGCGGCGCCTCCGGTGCCACCCCAGGCGCGTTCTGCGCGCCAGGGAGGGGGGTCCAGCGCGGATCCAAGAAACCCGCTCGGACCTCCAAAATCAGAGCGTGCATTACCTACCCCGCTTTCGCTTCCAGGCAAAACCAAGTCATAACACGCGCCTCCTCGTCAAGCGGCCTGACCAGCGCAGGCCGTAGTTTGACGTCGCTTGGTATCTCTTGGAAGCGAGGGTGGTTTGTTTGCGCCCTGCAAAAGAGTGTGCTCATGCCGTGTTCTTTTCCCCTGCTGCCCACCACCAGAGACGTCAAGCGTTCGCAGGCTGCACTGGACGCGCTGTGCAAAGCGCGAGCGCCGCAGCTGCCCAGGGGGCTCAACGTTAAACACGCCACAGGGCACTGAAGTGAAGTCGGGCATGTCCCTCTACAGGAGGAATATTCAAACATAATCCAAAAATAGTCAGGGAACTATTTTTTGAGTTTTTACAATTTTGCAATGTTGTTTGGGGTATTTTTTATTTTTCGTCGAAAATCGCCCCTGTAGGGAGACACGCCCGACTTAACACTGAAGACTGCTTTGAGAACCTCCTCCCCGCGCGCTCCCGCAAAGTCGAGTGGGTTGCATTTCCCTCGAAGCGAACTACAACCCAGCTTGTACGACAGCTCCTGCCGCAGCTCCTGCTGAAGCCCCCGCTACAGATCCCACTACAGCTCGCACTGCAGCTCCTGCCACAGGTTTAACTGCAGCTCGTACAGGTTCGGGAATATTCCCCTTGCGCGACGCGGTTGCCCCGAGAACACTTGCAAGACAAATGCATGCTGTTGCGCCCCGGTCGCGTACATGCTGTTGCGCCCCAGCCGCATACATCCTGTGGCGGCCCAGCCACATAAATCGACCGTTTTCGGAAAATCCGTGGGGAGGCCGCAAAAGGGGGGGCCGCCCACGAGCCCGAAGAAGTCAATAGTTCTATGACAATTGCAATCATAATCGTTTATTCTTGGAGAGCCCCCCCAGTCCTCCCCCCCCCGCCCCCTAAAAAAAAATCCAATCACAAAGCCCCCTGCGGGGGCGGGAGCTCTTCGTCACCCACTCCTTGAAAGTAATTGTACGAAGGTCAGAGGATGGGGCCTCATTTTGGGCGTTCCGTTTGAGACGTCCTCAGAATTTGCTTGGTTTGTCCTCTAGTTTGGTTTGGTTTGTCCGTGCGCACCGCCTGAGGAATCCTCAGAATTTGTTTGGTTTTGCCCCTGGTTTGGCTTTGTTTTGGGCCCGTTTCTTTTGACAAGTCCTTATCGTTGGCTTGGTTTGGTTTGTCGTCGACGTGGTTTCGCTTGAGACGTCCTCCCAATTTGCCTTGTTTGGCTTGGTTTCGGCGCGGTTTCGCTTGAATGAGACGTCCTCACAATTTTATTGGTTTGGTTTGGCTCCTGTGCGGTTTCGCCTGAGGCGCGCTTGCGATTTCCTAGGTTGAGCATCATTTAGGCGCAGATGTTCTCCAGTCATGCGGTACAAGCCGTGTGGTGCAAACCCACATCGTCGCAAACTATGTGGTGCAAGATATGTGCTGGAAGCTGTGTTCGGCGAGCGGCGTGGTGCAAACCCACATGGTCGCAAGCTACGCGGTGCAAACTGCGTGTTGCAAAGTATGTGGTGGAAGCTATTTGGTGTAAACTATGTGGTGCAAGGCCACATCGTCGCAGGCTACACGGTGAAACCTAATTATGTGGTGGAAGGTATATGGCGTAAGTTGTGTGCTGCAAGCTACGTGGTGCAAGCCCACATCTTCTCGCGGCGTTGGACATCTGTCCAACGTTGGGAGAAAGTTCTCCCGATCCTGTAGTAGAGAAGGTCGCTGCCAGTAGTCCTCATCAAATTCCCTCTGCAGTATACGTCAGGAAGTGTGAGGGGCACATCGGGTGTCGTCGCCCTGCGGTGGAAGCGCGCGAAATTGGGAGCAAGCGCGTCAGAGCCTGGTGCACCAGTGTGTGATTTGGCCCTGTTGCTGTCGTCGCCCCCGCGACCCGCCCCCACGACCCACCCCGCGACGCACACAACGACGTACCCCGCGGCGAACCCCGCGGCGAACCCCGCGGCCCACCCGCGACACCCGCGACCCACCCGCTACCTTCCCACGACCTTCCGCGACCCCTCTTCGACAGACCCGCGACCCACGTTCGCAACGCAGCCACGCCGATTTGTTCTGTTTTTTGTTGTTGTTGAAATCGCCGCTTGCGGCGTGCTGGTGGTGTTGCAAACAACACGTCTGCGCCTACTGCAGGGTTCTGCGCCTGCAGTCCGACCCGAAGAGGCCCCGACCCGCGATCCACCCATATTGCTTTACAGAAACACCGGCGCCTGCGGCGGGCTGATTGCTTCGGAAGAATCGGCGCCTGTCACTGGCTGCTTTACACGCCCCGCATCCCAGGCGCCCCCACACTCTTATCGGCAGTTGCGGGGGTCGGAGGGCATCATTTACAATGGTATCGCGCGCCGGCCAGATCGGCGTGCGCACTGGATTCTTACTCACCATTTCGTTGGAAGGATTGACGTGGTGCCTACAACATAGTTTTATATCTGGAATTGTGCAGGGGGCGGATGCGGATCACCGCATGATATCGCATCACAGACGGGATGCACGTAGGGTGCATAACGCATACAAGCTCGTTGGAAAATGCCGGGGGCGGATCCGGTCCGGTACGGCTCACAGGAGATAGTAGTTCTAACCATGCTGTTTGAGTAGCTTTTCAGTAGAGTGTAGCATGTTATATCGCAAAGTTAGTTGTCTCGCTGGTGTTCTCTTTAGCTATCTGCCGCCAAGAGTGTATGCTTTCGAACAGTCATCATACACGATTGCTTGTTAATTCTGTACTGCATGAAGCGTAATCGGGTGCTCTCCCGGACTTTGACGACTGCAGCGCGAGCTGGTTGCAGATACGCGTTGAAGCCGTCGGGATAGAGAAGCCCGTCCGCTGGCCTGCCTGCAGCAGCCAGCGGCTGCGGAGAAGCAGCCCCCGAGCTGCCCCTGAGCTCCGCCCTGACCCGTGGCCCTCCGCCCTCAGGAAGACGTGTCGCGGCACCTCTCGGAGCTGGGCGTGGAGAATCACAGCCTCGGGGGGTCCCGTGCGGGGGCAGCGCGGGTGGGGGGGGGGCAGCGCGGCGGGCGGCTTTTCCAATGTTTTGTTTTGTGTATGACGTCAGAAGTGCAACGACCTCCTCCGCGGCCGCGACCACCACGACGACGGTGGCGGCCGGGACCGCAGCTGCAACCCCTGCCCGCGCAGCCCCCCGGTCGGGCCCCCCCGAGCGTCGGCCACCGGACCGCGGAGGGCGTGCCGGTCTCGGGGCCCCCGTGGGCGGGGCGTTTGGCAAACGGGGGCGCTCGCCAGGGGCGGCTTGGCGCTGTTAAGCAGCTCGCCGCCGCCCGGCTTGCCCCAGCTCCGCGGCCGCCCTGCGCCGTCCACCGTCCGTTTGTGCGGCGATTCGCCCAGCAGTGCCCGCCCGCTTCGGCTACGGACGCGTTGCGCGATCGCCATCGCTGCGCCCAAGGGAAAACTGTCGCGCGCCGCGTGAGCAGTGCGGACATGGGACTGTGCGCAAAGGCGCGCTGAATCTCTTGCGGGGAGCGTTCCGTGTGAGTTGGGTGTTGAACTGGGCGGAGCCCGTCACGCGAACGCGCCGCTGGTGCCGCAGGTGGAGCTCTCTGCGGGGGACGACCCGTGCGCCAATGCGATCGGCGGGTGACCGTGACAATTTGTCAGGGAGACGTAAGACTCGAGTGCGCCAGAACTCGGGTTCGCCGACACTTTTTGACGAGCGCATCCTGGGTTTTGACCGTGCAGTCGTCACGGGATGTTCGCAGCGGGAGCTCGCGTCAAATTCCAGATTAGGTCTCTTCATTTTCATGATGGCCCCGTCAGGCCAACCCGAGTCCCGCGAACCCGAGTCTTACGTCTCCCCGAACTTGCGCCGTAGGCGGAGCTCCCCGCAGTGCAGGGTGTGCAGACATCGACCCGCTGGGGCTGTAGCTGGAACTCTCCCCCTATGGGGGATGCGCAGTGAGCGGTGTGCCGACATCGGCTGGAGGGCGGCACACACACACACACACACACATCCGCGCTCAGGGGGGCCGTGGGTGGAGCTCCTTCTGAGGGCACAGAACGATTGTCGGCGGCGAGCGAGGGGGAGAAGTGAGAAGGAGAAGGCCTTCACAGAAGGCGGCGGGACTTCTCAGAAGCCCTCGCGCATGCTGAAAGCAGAAGGCCGGGGGACTTCCGAGCCTTCTCTGATGAGAAGGCCCGCCCTGTCTCTTTTCCCCCCCCCCAGGCTCGACGCCGGGATTGCGGGGTTGTACGGACAGGAAACGCGCGACGGCGCGGGCCACCGTGCCGGTCGCGAGTCCGCCTGCCGCGCGACGCAGCGGCCAGCGGGCGGCGGCGTTCGACGCGCGCCTCCGCCCAGCCACTTGCGCAGAGCGCGAGAGGCGGGGCGCGGTTCTGGACGGTGGCGGCCACTGGGGCCCAAGGTGGATCTTTCATTATGCCGAAATGGACACCCCCCGTGGGGGGCATGAGCAGTGTGAGGAGCATGCCGGAATTAGGTGGGAGTGGCTTTCGCCAGCGCGCAGTGAGGCCGTGGGTGAAGCTCCCAGGAAGGGCGTGGGCACGACCAGAGTGAGGGGTGTGTCGAAATTAATTGCATTCGCCCGCGACCAGCGAGCTGGTAGGTGGGGCTCCAAAAGTGGGCCACCATTCGCCCGCGCCCGGTAAGGCCGTAGGTGGAGCCACCTGTGGGAGTTGTGAGGGTTTGCTGACATTGACTGGACGGCTTTCGTCCGCGCCAACTGAGGCAGTAGGTGGAATTCCTTTGAGGCGACGCGACGTGCGAGGGGTGTGCCGAAGTCGGCTTGGGGCGGCATTCGCCCGCGGCCAGTGAGGCCGTAAGTGGAGCTCCCTGAGGGGGGGGGACATGAATCGTGTGAGGGGTGTGCCGGAATCGGTGGTGGGCAACATGCGCCCACACCCAGTCAGGCCGTTGGTGGAGTTCCCTCGTGGGGCGGGGGCACGAGCCGCGTGAGAGCGTGCCGAAATTGGCAGGGGGCGTTGCTCGCCCTGGCTGGCCAGCGAGGCCGCAGGTGGAGCGCCACCTCGGGAGCACGAACAGCGTGAGGGGTGTCCCGAAAGTGGCGGGGGGCGGCGATCGCCCACACCCAGTCAGGCCGTAGGTGCGCCGCAGGTTCTGCGCCGCTGGCTCTGGCCCTGGCCCCCCACCCTTCGGCGCGACACGCTAACCACGTCCCAGTCCCTGGGCGGCACTCTCCTGAGTTTCTCCCAGCCTCTGGCCTGTCGGAGCGGCACGCCATCCGCCTGCAAGGCGTAGCGGTTCGCCACGGCTGCCGCGACACGCTAAGCAAGAGGTCTTGAGTTCAACCCAGACCCCCGACATCATGTTTTTTCTGTTGTTAGAACGTCGACCCCAGAGGCCTCGACCCATTCCCGGGGACCGGTTTTTCATCTGGAGTTGTTTGTTCATGGTCCAGAGGCCCGGTACGGGCCCCCAGAGGCCAGAAACAGCGAGAATCTTCCGTTGAGATTGTGAAGGCTTTACGGCGAGTGCCGCCGATCTGGAAGGACGACGACGACGACGACGACGACGACGACGACGACGACCACGACCACGACCACGACCACGACCACGACCACGACCACGACCACGACGACGACGACGACGACGACGACGACGACCACGACGATGACCACGACGACGACCACGACGACAACGACAACGACGAGCTGATGACCCTGCCGCAAGTTCGGGACATGGGGCGGGCGGTGGAGGGAGGAGGAGGAGGAGGAGGAGGAGGAGGAGGAGGAGGCGATAGAGGAGGCGATCAAGGAGGCGGAGGAGGAGGAGGGGGGAGGGATCCGCGGAGTTGTTCATAACTCGAGGGGGCTCTGGGAGCGTTGCCCCTCACCGTGAGAAGCGGCGGCGCCCCCGACTGCGGCGCCCCCGCCCGACGCCGTTGGGGCCCCGGCCGTCGACGTCGCCGCGCCCGAGCACAAGCTGGCGCTGCTGGTGGAGGGCGCGCCGTGGCGGGCGCGCGGAGGCGCGCGGCGGCGACGGCGGCGGCGACGGGCGGGGGCCCCAGCCCCCCTCGAGCAGTGCAGAGAGCACGACGGGGAAGGTTTTTCGCTCTCCTCGGCCTCTCTGGGGGCCCTCGCGGGGCCCCGGGGCCGTGCACTGGCCAGGGGCGGCGTCCCTCTGGAGTGCAGTCGAGCAGCTGATCAAGAAGCCTCCACCCGAAGAGGTGGGCCAGCGTTTCTCGATCAGCTTGCCGGAAAGCTGGCCCTGTTTCTTGAGCACGTTCGTGTTTCCAGCATGAACAAAAGAGATCGCCTAGGAGAGTTTGAAGAGACTTCTGGAACATCGGCCCAGGTTTCTGACAGTATGATGTTCATGATCAGATGTTCGGCCGTAGTGAAAAAAACGGAGGAAGGTTTTTCGCTATTTTCGGCTCCTGGGCCCTGGGGGCCCTCGCTGGGCCCCGGGATCGTGGGCATAAACGATTGGGGACGGAAATCTGGTCCCAGGGAAGTGATCGAGAGCCGGAGGGTCGACGTCCCGATCACATCATGACGTCGGGGGCCTGGGGATGGGCGGGGGCGAGGGCTCCAGGCTCCAGGCTCGAGGCAGCTCTCGCCGGCCCTCGGCGGCTTTTTTCCAGCCTCGGGATGCTGTCCAGCAGCTGCGCCTCGCCGAGAGAGCCCTCCGGGGCTCGGACTGTCGCGATCGGCCGCCCGAGGCAACAGTGAGGACCCGAATGGCCCAGAGACGCTGGCATTCGATTCACCGCGGGGGCGAATGCGTTCGCTTCGCAGGCGAGCTCGCAGGCCAAAGGCGCCGCTTCTCGTATGTGTCCCCGCCGCCAGTGTGGAGTCGCATGCGGGGTGGACGCCGCGACGTCTTTCCGTGCTGCATGCCGCACATCACGCCGGTTCTGGGACGCGGGGGTGTGGCGGTCGTGCTTCGCCGTTCGGGCGATCGTCTCCCGCGTCGTGGCCGAGTTCGCCCCCCGCGGAGCGTCGTGGACCTCCGACCGACGATGCGCACTGTGGCGCTGGCCGCCGTTTCTGTCGTGCAACATCGGATCGGAATGTGGCGGCCGGCGCTGCGGGGGTGCGCTCCGATCTCGGCCAGGTCTGGGGCCCCGGAGGGGCCCGAAGCCCTCGTGTTTCCTCTCTCGCGCCCCCGCGGACGACGCCGACGTCCATGCTCGCGCGCGCGTGACTTTTGAGGTCGCGCTCGGCTGCCTCCACGTGGCCCCTTCTCGGGACCGAGGGCCATCAAGAGCAGGTCGGGGGCGCAGAAGTGCCCCGGGGGAGGGGGTCGGGAGCTCTGGCAGCGTGGATTTCGACCAGACGTAACAGTGACCTTTCGCCGGAGTCACCTTGAGTGCCGGCCCAATGGGGTCCCCCCATCGCTGAGCGCGAAGCGGCAGCGGCGGCCTGCGCGCTTGGTGTCGGCCCCCTCGCGCCCCCCCCTGAAAGCCGCGCACCAAAGTGTCGCTCTTGCCTATAGGGTCACTCTCACGTGTAGCCGAGGATGGAGCGAATTATGCAGTAGGCCCGTCAAACAAGAAGCCAGCCTGCCAGCAGGTGCCCCCCGGAAATCTCTCATCCCCCGACGGCCCCTTGGGGGGGCCGCAGAGGCCCTGGGGCGCCTCGGGGAGCTCAAAGCCTGACGTCGAACGTGCCCCCAGGTTTCTTATAGCAAGGTTTCTTATCGTAATGTGCCTACTGTACTGCCTGTACTGCATGGTCAGATGTCTGGGTCGGCGGCAGTCACGGCGATGGCGGCGGCGGCGACGACGACGGCGTCGCGGTGGCGGCGGGGGGCGTCCTTTCCACCCTGTTTTCTGTTTCGGGGATGAAGGGCTTCAGGCGTTTTGGGCGCCTTCTCGGATGTCTTCGGAGGTGGTCGGAGTCTGTCGGTGGTTATCGTGATCTTCGACGGCGTCGCGGTGGCGGCGGGGGGCATCCTTTCCACCTTGTTTTTCGTTTCAGGGATGAAGGACTTCGGACGTTTCTGGCTTTTTTCGGATGTCTCCGGAGGTTTTCGGAGTCTGTCGGTGGGTATTTGATTGCAGTCTTCGGGTGCTTTCGGAGATTGCCAGAGGGCCTCCAGTCTCATGGGCGAGGATCGGGGATCAAGGTTCTTTGGCATATGTTGCCTTCTCCTGGGGCCTCAAGGCCAGGGGCTTCCGAAGCGACGGCGGGGGCGAAGATGGCAACGGGGAAGGTGCCCTCCCCCCGACCTGTCGTGGGGCGCGTTCCCACAAGAAGAGCCAACAGTGTCTAAGGTCTCCGGGGGCCGTTGGAGGCCCACTACTTTCCGAACGCTTCCATCTTCGACCCTCGTCCCTCGACTCTCGAACCTCGCCTCGGACGACGCCAGTGATGGCGATGGCGATGGCGAAGGAGGCGTCACCTGCAGCGTCGCCTCGAGAGCCCCCAAAAGGCGCAGAGAAGCCCCTGCTCGGCGGCCTGCCCAGGGGGGGAGGCTGAGGGGGAGGCCTTCTGAGAAAACGGCGGGCCTTCTCAGAAGCCCTCGCGCCTTCGAGGACTTCTGAGAAGCCGTCGGTGGCTTCGGAACAGGCTTTGAGAGCTTCTTGGAAGGCAGAGGGGGGCGGGCTTCGGAAGAAGCCCTGCCGCCTTCTGGGGAGTCCGGCCCCGCGCAGTCCTCCCACGCTGGGGCGCACCGCCGACGCACCCCCACCTCCCAGACCCCGGACGGCATGATCTTTTTCACAACCTCGACTCTCAGGGGTCTCGACCCATGCCCCATGACCGGCTTTCCATCCCGAGTCGTGTTCTGACGGTCCTGGAGCCCGGCGAGGGCCCCAAGAGGCTGAAAGCTGCAAAGAGCTCCCCGCCGTGATTCCTTCACGACGCGAGCATGTTTGGGACCCCACCTTCGACGACTCGATATTTTCGAGTCTCGGGACCGCAGACCTCTCGACGCTTTCCTTGGGACCAGCTCTTCGTCATGAGCAATTTTTGGACAGACTGGGAGTCCAGAACTGGCCTCTGGAGGCCAAACATGTTGAAAGATGGCAGACTTTGTATCATCCAGTCTCTGGAAATCTGGGCCCCCTCCTGGGCCAGACAGCCGACCGGCTTTTCATCCCGAGGCGTGTTTGACGGTCCTTGGGCCCTGCGTTCCTGCGAGGGCCCCAAGAGGCCGAAAACAACGGAAGGTCTCCATCTTTGGATGATCTGGTCTCTGGAAGTGTGGACCCCCCCCCGCGCACCGCCGACCTATACGCCCACCTTCTCGTGTGTGGTCCTTCATGGGAGCTTCAGAGGGCCCCAACCTTTCTGGCAGTTTGGGGCATTTCGTCAGGATTCCATCGGATTCGGTCGACACCTGGATCATCTGGACGAAATCTGGACAAAATCTGGACGAAAGGGTGTAGATGGGGGGTCGGAATTTAGACGAAATCCGGTCGACCACCTTCTCGTGCTCCGTCTTCGCCGCGCTCATCAGAAATTGTGCCGCTTCCGCCCCTACGCGGCCCGCGAAGTTCTCACATCGCCACGTCAGGAGCGGGGCTTCGCGCGAGCGTCTTCCGTTCGCTGGATGGGAGCGCGCTCCAATCTCAATCTCAGGTTGTGCCACACTTGATACTTAGATTGCGGTAGGGAGGGTGGGAATAGGCGGGCATTCTGACTCCCTCTCTCGATCTACCTCGACATGCGATGTCTCGATTTTTTCAATACGTGGACCCCCAGATGTCTCGACCCATTCCCTGCAATTGGTTTTGCATCCGGAGTCATGCTTTGACGGTCCCGGAGCCCCAGTCCGTCGTGATTCCGTTTGGGGCCTACCCCCCGTTTCTTACGCCCCCCTCGACCTGGCTAAGTTGACCCTCCTCGCACTCCTCCTGGGCACTTAGCACTGACGGCATGGAGGTCGATTCGTCGATGCTGTCGCCCGACTCTCCTCCTCCTCCTCCACCTCCTCCTCGTCCTCCTTCTTCTCCTCCTCCTCCTCCTCCTGCCACTCCTCCTCCTCCGCCTCCTCCTCCCCCTGGCCCTCCCCCTCTCCCTCCGCCTCCTCCTCCTCACAACTTTTGATCCTTACATGAAGTTTAACATTTGCAGCAGTTTCGCGGATGGAGGGCGGGCCGTCTTGAAAATGTGGTTCTCGCTTCAGCGCCGCGCGCATGCGCCCCAAGAGCTTACGACAGCTTCAACGGATGCGGTGCCCCTTGGGGCAAGCCAGCGGCTGCTATAGAGCATCTCGCAGACAGGCGCGGGCTACGCTCGGGAGCACCGCCCTGATCTCGAAGATTGCTGCCAAGCCAGCGTCGTCACGAGAGGCCGTTCGCATCACGGCGCGGTACACATCCACGGCATTCCCGAATCATCGGGCGGCTGCCGACGAACCCACAGCAGCAATTCCACGAAATCAGCAGCAGCTCGATTCTGAGCCAGGTGGCGTTGGCCGGGTGTCCCCAGGGTCCTTGTATTCTTCGGCGTCTGCTTCTTTCCGTGCGGGCGCCTTGGGCGCGAACGCGATCAAGCTGCTGTTGAGCCCCGTGCACTCATCGGATCCGCGTAGGAAGCTGTTTAGGAATGGAGAAACTGGGTCCGTCGGCACATACTGACGAACCTCGGACCTCGAACAAGACGTTCACTACAAGCGGGCCCGACAACCAACAGGTCAAGAAATTAATGCCACTCGGTCGTGGCGCAGAGTCTGGTATGGGTCCAAAGCTGCTTGCACATCTCCCCGGCGGGCTGCCACGCCGGATCTTCTGTCGGGGAGAGGCTCTCGGAAGATGTCTTCCTGTAGCCATCGCCTCAGCGCCCGGCGATCCACCTGACACGACACAACCGTAGCCCACCAATGGCTACGGAGAGCCGCCGCCATCACTTCTGGGTCCGTGACCACCTCGCCGCGGGCTTTCCGCACCGCAAGCAACGCTGTCGGAATGCCAGGGGATGGTCTGCAAAGCGCAACGTTGCTAATCACTACGCGCATTGCTCCTTGACGGCGTGAGGCATCCGTGGCCCGATGGGCGATACTAGTGCCAATGCCAATGCTTCCCTCCTGCACCTCCACCTCCCTCTATCTACTCCTCTTCTACCTCTTCCATGCTATCCCTCCCCCTCCTCCTCCTCCTCCTCCTCCTCCTCCTCCTCCTCCTCCTCCTCCTCCTCCTCTTCCTCCTCCCATCTTCCTGCTCCCCACCCCACCTCCGTCCTCCCGGGCTCCATTCCTCCTGGGCCCCCTGGCACGGGAACAATTTGTCATACGAACACATGTTTCACGTTTCCACTTCCGCCGTGTTCCACCAATCGTCCTGGAGTTTCTGCCTCATTCTCCCCCTCCTCCAACTCCTCGTCCTTCCTCCACCATCCTCCTCCATCGTCAATCTAGGTGGGAAACGGGATGGGGGCGGACTCGATGGGGTGTGCAACGAACACATCCTGTAATAGCTAGTAGACAGGGAGAGAGGTTGAAGAAGAGGGGAAGGGGGAGGACGAGAAGAACGAGATTCACGACGACAGGGCCGCGCTTCGTGATCAGCCCACTTCTCCAATGCAGCCCGTCCTCACCAAATTGATGATCTATAAGCGGCGCAGCCCAACACCTACAAGGGATATCCCACTCATTGGCCCGCGATCAACAGGTAATGCGCCCTGTAAGGGAGCGAATCTTCACACCCTGGTCGAATAATCCCTCCCTATCCCCTATCCACCCTGGGGACCGAGGGAGGACGGGAAGGACGAGGAGGAGAGGAAGGGAAGGAGGATGAGGGGAAAGGGCGCAATGCATCCTGTACGTTGGGGGGGGGGAATGAGAAACACATGGGCCCGAACACGCCATCACGACTCACCCGCGAAGATGGCCACGAAGGGCCTCGAGGGATGCCGCGATGGCATGACCGCTAGTTGCGACCCATGGCGGTGCGCACATTCGTGTCAAGAGCTTACAGCAGCTTCTAGGATGGATGGTGGTTCCTTTTTCAAAATGTGGCCCTCGCCTTGGCGCCGCGCAAGTTCGTCCCAAGAGCTTACAGCAGTTCCAAGGGTTCTTATGGCTGGCGTAAGAGAAAATTACGTGCTGGCGCGATGTAGGACAGTCAGGGCGCCACAGTCATGTTGATTCGTGGTGCTGAAGTCCCAGGAATTGTGTTCTGGCACGGTTTAGGACCGCCAGGACGCAACAACAACGTGGATTCGCGGAGTAGGATACCGAGGAATGGGGTTTCGGTACGGTTCAGGATTTTCAGACTGTTGTCCTCAATCGGGGCGTTTCCTTAAGTGAAGGTAAGTTTTTGCAGGGACTTATGCAGAGGGGAAGTTGGAGGGAGTATGTATTGCAACATCGCTGATGGGTCTTATATGTACACTGGTAGCCCTCCTTCTCCTACTCCTCCTCCTCCTCCTCCTCCTCCTCCTCCTCCTCCTCCTCCTCCTCCTCCTCCTCCTCGTCCTCGTCCTCCTCCTCCTCCTCCTCCTCCTCCTCCTCCTCCTCCTCTCCTCCTCCTCCTCCTCCATCCTCCATCCTCCTCCTCCTTCTCCTCCTCCTCCTCCTCCTCCTCCTCCTCCTCCTCCTCCTCCTCCTTGCGCCTCCCCCCCTCCTCCTCCTCCTGCCCCTACTCCTCCTCCTCCTCCTCCTCCTCCTCCTCCTCCTCCTCCTCCTCCTCTCCTCCTCCTCCTCCTCCTCCTCCTCCTCCTCCTCCTCCCCCCCTCCTCCCCCTCCCCCTCCCCCTCCCCCCCCCTCCCCCCCCTCCTCCCTCCTCCTCCTCGCGCTCCCCCCCCCCCCCCCCCCCCCCCCCCCAAGCGGCAGGCGCCGCGTCTCCGCCCGACCTCGCGCCCGACGGCCCGACGCGCCTCGCCCTCGGGCTGCTGGAGCCCCCCTCCCCAGATGCCTCCGCGGCCCCCCCGGGCGCCCTCGCGCGTGGGCGCGCGCGCGCGGGCCCGCGAGAGCCAGACCTCCAACGTAGATTTCTGCGCCGAGCGGCAATGGGAAACTTGACATGGGGAGCAGAAGCTTGGCGGCAAACAACAGCAGTCGAAACGGCATTTTCGCCACCCTCTGCCCAGCAGGGCCTCGGCTCGGGCAGCTGACGCGGAGGCTCGAACAGGCCGCTCGCGGAGACAAATGTTCGGCAACCTCGCCGCCTGATTCAGGGATGGACCGACCGACCCGTACGGCAGGTCGTGTCGTGTCGATTGGCGGCGACCCCGCCGCCGGCGTTCAAAGTTGAACGCCGCTGGCGAACCCATAACCGGTCGATGTTGTACGATCTGACGTTTCGGAAAGGGCCGATCGTTCAAGGTTGAACGATCCCCGCGGTGTCAGGAACCAACTCCAAAGTCGGCACGACACGAACCTGCCGTGTTTGTTCGTCGTTTTCGGCCTCTGCGGGCTTTCGCCAGGCCCCAGGACGGCGATCACCACCGATCTGAAATATGCAGCCTCGTGGGCCGTGACCATGCTAGAGGAACGCCGAGAGATCAGGGGTTCGATCGAGACTCCCCCGAGAAGCCCAGGCACAAGTTTTTATGTTTCTTTTCATCATGTGAGACTGCCGACGACGCAACTGAGCAGCTGCGCGGCCGTTGATGTCCGACCGTGCAGGGTCAATGACGGTCACATGCGGCTCCGAGCTGCTCATCCGTAGCAAGGTTGGTCGGCTTGTCGATGTAGTATGCTTTCCCCCTGTTTCTCTTTTCAATTGCCTCTCGCTTCGCTGTCCCCCCATTCATGATTGAAAGAGCTGCTGAGGACAATCATTTGAGTGATGATTTCATATGCCACCACTCTGTTTCTGCGTTAGGATTCGGCTGCAGGGGCCAGGGATTATTCTATATATATGTGTGTGTGTACATAAAAATATGTGTGTAAATACGTATGTCAGTATATCTATATATACGTATGTATATATTTACAATCCCCAGCGGCTAGAGGATCTCGTACTTCAGCAGCTGTCGCTTCTGTTGGACAATAATCTTCCAGCACAGTTTGGGCAACTGGCGTGGCACCCCTTGTGTGTTTGCCCCCCCCCCCGCAGCAGCAAGCACATCACAACAGGAAGACTGGATTGAACAGTCTTATTGACGTGCAGGTCGTAGGAAGGGGACGCGTCAAAATTGGCTAGTTGACGCATTGAAGGGGCCTGGGCCTCACAAAACCCCCTTGGAGAAAAGGCGCACCAAAACCACGAACATAATCGACGCAGCGCCACTCGCAACCCTTCTGCAGCACTCGGTGAGGTCTCTGGTTGCTGGAGAGTGCCGCCGTCCGAGAGCTCCGAGTTTTACATTCGGGCCTGCCGACAAGATCCTTTCGCTTCCGCGCTGGGATCTGACCTTAGGGGCTGGGGCACGCGGCGTACCAGCCGCCCAGGGCCAGCTCGCGGATCAGGATTACTCCTCCCGCCCCCCCTTCTTCTTCCCATCTCCTCTTCCCCTTTTCCCGCCCCCCCTCCCTCCCCAGAGGCATTCCCATGCGGGGCCCCAGCAGACCGCCCCTAAGTGGCCACGAGGCCCCAGGCCCGGCTTCTTTCAGCTCTGGGCGTGCCTCGGGTCGGCGTTGTCGCCCAGTCGCACTTTATCGGGCCATTGATACTGCTGCCTGCTGCTCCCCCCCTTCTTAGGGCAGACGAGTGGTGGGGGGGGGGTAAAGAAAGGGGGGGGGCTACGGAAATTGCTGCATGCAGGTGGCCACGGCCCCGTCACCAGGAACTTGTCGTGGGATACGCTGTCGATCCCGTTGTCAAGAGGCGCGGGGAAAATTGGCTACGTGAGCCTGTTCGCAAACCAGATTTATGCGATCCCCCTCTTCCAACCGATACGACACACCTCTCCTTTCCTTACGTTGTAGTTTCGGGGGAGTTTTGTTCTTCTGAGCTGACAATGGCGGTCTTTTTTCCTGTGCACTACGTATGTTCGACGCGAATTCGACGTAGAGTCGACGTAGACTCGACACGGCTTCGACGCGGATTCGGCAAGCTCGACTCGCATTCGATGCGGTTTCGACGCGGATGGCGGCGCCATGGGGCAGACAAGCTCTCCCGAACAGGGAGCACAATCGTGGACCCACTGGAGGCGGAAGCGGAGGCGGAAGCGGAGGCGGAGGAGGAGGCGGAGGAGGAGGAGGAGGAGGAGGAGGAGGAGGAGCAGGAGCTTGGCTACTCAGGGGCAACGATAGGGGGGGGGGATGGCCCGGGGGGGGGGGAGGAAGCATCGACTCCCGATCGCCCACCCATCGCCCATCGGGGCCCGGGTACCCCACCCCGCCCAGGGACGTGAGGTTTCCCCATCGGGGGCCCATCGCCGATCTGTCGGCGATGCATCGCCGAGTTCAGGTTGCACCGTCACCCCCCCCCCCTGAGCGAGCCCCCCTCCCCCTGTCGCCGATCCTTCCCCCTCAGCCCCACAAGCCGCAGCCCCACAACGCCCCGTGCAGCGTTTCGCCCGATATTTCGCCCCATCTTGCAGTCTGCGGTGGTTCCTTCCCTAGCGCGGCGCACTGCCGGGGGGGAGGCGTCGCTGCTGACTGGCGCTCTGCTGCTTCCTCCCTGCTCTCTTGCCCCTCCGTCCGCACCCCCCGTCCTCAGGAGCGCCTCGGGTGGCGCGCCGCCTTCGTCCCAGAGGGGCGGTGGCGGCAGCTGCGCACCCCAGAGGCCCTCGACGCTGCCCCTCGCTGCTCCAGGGCGCCCTCTTCGCAGGGGGAGGGGCTTTTCCTGCTCTTCTTCCTCCTCCTCCTCCTCCTTCTCCTCCTCCCGCTCCTCCCCCTCCTTCTCCTTCTCCTCCTCCTCCGCCTCCTCCTCGTCGTTCTCCTCCTCCTCCTCCTCCTCCTCCTCCTCCTCCTCCTCCTCCTCCTCCTCTCCTCCTCCTCCTCCTCCTCCTCCTCCTCCTCCTCCTCCTCCTCCTCCTCTGGTGGTTGGATTGCGTCGCTGATGAAGTTGGGAGTTTGTCGGCAGTGGCGTGCTCCCCTGTAGCCTGCTGGGGGTCTGAGGCGGCCCAGCACTGGTTCCGGCCAAGAGGAAGGGCGGCCAGGTTCGAGCTTCTGGGTTCGGAAAGGATGTTGTCTTTTTCGGCCTTCAGGGGCCTTTTTTCGGGCACCTGGACCGTGAAAACGGATCCGGGGTGAAACATTGTACCAGATGGACCCCGGGAGGGGTGCGGGGCCGGATTTTGAGCGGGGTTGGCTTCACTCCCGCCTCCTGGCCGATTTTCTGGGGCCCCCACCAGTTCAGACCGCCAGCCGCCTCCACATAGGAACGCTGATGAGACTGGGAGCCTGTCGGCAAAGACGGGCACGCAACTCGCAGAATATTTCAGCGAGCCTCAGAACTTCTGCGCGGGCGCCAGGGTGTAAAGTCGGCACAGCACAGGCGGGGCAGGCGGCAGGTAGAGTGCCAGGATGTCAAGGGGCAAATCAGGCAGGCGGTAAGGGGCGGCCCTGGTGTGATGCTTGTGCAGTGTCGGAGGGGTCGCTGGGGATGGCCCCCCGGGCTCCGTGGCCCATCGTCCGGCTCTGGGAGACGCTCTCCCGTTCCGCCTCTGCCACGGTCTCTCCACTCCTGAGGCCTGAGGGGGGGGGGTTCGCCGGAAACGACCCCTGCGTTCCCCGGCTCCTCGCCCGACCGAGGGGGGCGCTGTCCCCCCCCGGCCCCTGCCACACATCCTCGGCTCCCGCAGGGGAGCAGGCGAGGCCACGGTGGCGCGAGAGGACGTCCCGCCGACGTTCCCAGACCTCCGACGACTGTCTCTGTTCAACGAGCGCGAGGTTTCTCTTCGCTTCGGGGGGCGGGGGGCGCTGTCGGGCCCCGGGGCCATGAGGCACGGGCTCGAGACATCAAGCTGCTTCTGGGGACGGGGTCGGGAGCCCTGGGGTCGCGAATTAAAGAACCGTATCGGAGGACGCCTGGGTTCGTCGAGGAGACCGAGAAGCGGAGTGGACGCATGTGGCCTTCCCCGACCGCCCGCGAGCCCAGTCGCTCCCGCGCTGCAGCCGGGAAAGGTGCAGGGATCAGGGTGGACGGCGACGATGATGACGGGTGACGGCGATGGCGGTGGCGATCGTGATAGTCAGATGGTGGCGACGGGGGGATGTTCGTTGCCATTGGTCGGGCACTGTGCGACGTGGACAGTGGCGATTGTGAGGATGATGGTGATGGTGATGGTGATGGTGGTGGTGGTGAGGAGGAGGAGGAGGAGGAGGAGGAGGAGGAGGAGGAGGAGGAGGAGGTGTGAGAAAGAGGACGGCGATGACGTTGGTGATGTAGGCGAGGACTCTTACCTTTGGCGCCCCAGTTTCACAGAAGCGCAGACCTTTAACTGCCCCAGGAGGGCAGGAGGGAGGCACCCTCGCGGTTGTCGTCGTCGTCGTCGTCGTCGTCGCCTTGCCACGCAGGAAGTCCCGAAGACGCTCCGAAGTGCACCCACGGCCAGGGACGAAGCCAGAGGCGAAGTGCACAGGAACGGAAGGTGCCCACCCTGCAGGCTTGCTTCAGGAGGATAGGGACTTGAAGCGGTGGCTCTGTGGCAGCGTACAGCTCCGTTTGCGGGCCCAGTTCCTCTTTCTAGGTTGCTTGACGGTCCTGTCCATACATTGCCGCTATCGGCACGATTTCTTGTGTAAGTCATCCCCCCCTTCCGTTCGTCCCACATCAGAGCGGCGCGCGCGCGCTGCTTCTCCTTTTTCCTGCTGCCCTGTGCTCTTCCTGCTCCTAGGCAGGCCAGGATGAGGATAGATCGCTCCAGGGCGTTCTGGAGCGATCTCGGAGCGTTCCAGAGCGCTACGGAGCGGCCGCGGCGCCCCGTACGTTCCACAGAGCCCAGCCGGTTTTCACAAAATGCTCCTGGCATCCTCGTCCAGATTTATCCTCACCTCGGGTCGGACAAAAAGATACGATAGGGAAAGGGATGTTGCAGAACCTCCCGCGCGCAGCTGGTTTTGGCCCCGCCGCTGGGCGCCCTCCTCGATGTGCTCGGGCCTCCCCGGCGCCGGGAAAGCCAGAATTGCGTGAGGTGATTCGCGGGCCCGCCTCTGCGAGACCGTTTCCGGCCGACCCGGCCAGCTCCCGAAGAGCGTCACACGGCATGAACATGCAGTGTCGGCTTTCCGCCCAGACTTCCAGGATCGGCGCTGGGCCCCCGTGGCCGCGCCTCAAGCGCCGCCCCTGGCGCGTTCCGCGCGCCAAGGACGGGGGTCCGGCGCCGATCCAAGAACTCCGGGCGGAGCTTCGGAAGTGTGTATGTTTGTGCAGTTAGCTCGGTCCTCGTGTCGATTGGTCTTGCCGTCCTGGCCTCGTCCCGCCCCTCCCGCCTCCCTCCCCTCCAGGGCAACGGTTGGGGGGGATGCGCTCAGGGGAAACGCGCCGACCCCCAACGCACCAATGGATCGCCAACGGGGGCGCGATAGCCCGCCCAATTCAGGAGCGTGGGCATTCGCTATCGGCTGCCGTGGGGGGCGTTGTTTAAGGAATGTGCTCATGCCCCGGAGAATTCAAACAAACGTTGGAGGATTATTTATTTGATGAGGGCGGCGGAGATACCCATGTCCAGTCCACGCTTGGAGTTCCTCTCGGTTTCCTGATCCTCGATTTTTTATCCAACGATTCCATGTCCAACGCCCTCATTGTATCGACAACTTGTCGGCGATGTATCGCCGATTCCAGCTCGATGTTGTTCCCCCCCCCCCCCCCTCCCGCCACTCCCCCCCTATTGCTGCCCCGCCTCGGGCCGCTGGTGGAGCCTCCGCTGACCTGGATGGTCTCACTGCCAGCTGTGGTGCGCAGCACCCCTCGGGGAGGACTCGCCACAAAAGCCATGCAGCCGGACCGAGGTATAAGATCGAGGTCGGTACTGGGCGGGTACCCTGATGTTCTTTGCGTTTATTGGACGTTATTATGCATCCTGGGGGAGGGCACCCTCGGATGTTTTCCAGTTTGGGCTGGCGGAGGATCTCACGATCTTGAAGGATGTTCTTCTGGCCCAGGTCCGACCGTATGTCGGCGCGCCGTTTGTTCCGACGCGCGGCTTTCCGTCTCTGAGAGGGCGCCTTGGCCACCAGGGCCAACTCCGCCTCGGACCCAAGGTTTGCCTTTGGTCAGCCGCGGCGCCGGCTTCGTCCACGTGGGCGCGCTCAAAGCCAACGGCGCGGAGACACGTCCTTGCCCCTCCGTCTTGAGCACCCCTCCTGCGTGTCGTGTCCCCCCCCTTCCGCGGGCGGTGGGCCACGGCCTGCGCCTCCCGCGGGGCTGCAGCATGGCGGCCCCGCGCCTGCCCACCCGGCGTGCGGCGCACGGCCCCCGAAGTCAGGCCGCGGAGCCTGGAACTTCGCCCCCCTGACGCTGCGCCCTGCCGGTGCCCCTCGCCTCACCGGTCGATGGGGATGAGAGTGCGGGCGGTAGTGAGAAGGTCTTTGCTCGTGCTGTGGACGCGTGCTGCGCCGCCCACGTGACAAATGACCCAGCGAGAAGGTCATTCCGCCTGCTGTGTACGCCTGCTGCGCCGTCCACGTTCATCATAGAATCCTTATCATCAGGACTCGGCGGCAAGCCCAGGGGGGAAGGCAGGGGGAGCGGTGTTATAAGCCTTCTCCGAAGACAGGGACGGCTTTTCGGAAGACCAGAGGGCTTCTGACAAAAAACGCACGAGGGTCTCTGAAAAGCCCCGCCTTCTGAGAATCGGGCGGATGGAGATGAGGGGTGACCAAAGTGGGGGGGTGAAGGAAAAGGCCCCAAACGGCCCCTTTGGGGCCTTCCTCTCCATCCCCAATTGAGCCGCCCCCCCCCCCAATTCCACCCGCCCGAGGGAAGGCCCACCCCCTTCTCACGCCCCCCCCCGGGGCTCGCCGCCGGATCATCATCGTCGCTCTCCTTGCCGTCGCCGCTGCCCCTCGCCCGCCCCGCCCCCCCCGTGGCAGGCCAGGGCGGCCTACCTCGGCGCCCTCGCGCGCGGCGAGGCGGCGGCGCCCGAGCCCGCCTCGCCGGCGGCCGCCTCGCCAGCGGCGGGCAGAGAGACCGCGGCCTCCGAGGGCCTCCCGCCTCCGAGGGCAGGCGTCCCCCTCCTCGTCCTCCTCGTCCTGCTCGCCGTGCTCGGGGCCCCATCCTCCTCGTCCTCCTCCTTCTCCTCCTCCTCCTCTCCTCCTCCTCCTCCTTCTCCTCCTCCTCCTCCTCCACCTCCTCCTCCTCCTCCTTCTCCTCCTCCTCTCCTCCCCCTCCTCACCACCTCCTCCTCCTCCTCCTCCTCCTCCTCCTCCTCCTCCCTCCTCCTCCTCCTCCTCCTCCTCCTCCTCCTCCTCCTCCTCCTCCTCCTCCTCCTCCTCCTCCTCCCCCTCCTCATCCTCCTCCTCCTCCTCCTCCTCCTCGGCCTCGTCCTCCTCTGCCTCTTCGTCCTCCTCTTCCTCCTCGTCCTCCTCGTCCTCCTCCAGAGCTCGGAGCCCAGACCCCTTCGAGGCATGAGGAAATCACGACGCTTAATCTTTTTGTTGCTACTTTCGGCCTCTGGGGGCCCTTACCGGGCCACGGGGCCGTCAAAGAACGACTCAGGATGAAAAACCAGACGCAGGGAATGGGTCGAGACCGATGGCGTCGACGCTATGAAAAGTTCAAGACGTCGGGGGTTTGTGTCCAGAGTTCAGAGTTCAGAGCTGCGGACGGTTCTCCTGATGATAGGTGGCGCCCTTGAGAAGACCCTCCTCCCAGCCAACGGCAGGGGAGGGTTCGTGCAGGGCTGGCCTACAAAGACATAGATCCATGCCGCGTGATTTTGGCGGCATCGAGATACGCAGCATGCCAGAAATCATTCCAAAAACATTTCAAACCGCAGTTCAGAAAGGGGATACATATGAATGCGCCCACGAGCGTACCAGCGAGATGGAGCGGGGCGAGTGGGGCAAGCGATTGCGCGGGGGCACGTATTCGAGTAGTTAAGACCGCGAGTGTCCGCGACATGGGTTGGAGGCGCCCCCCGATATGCTCGGGGTCTCGGAGGCCCGGGCGCGTGGCGCGGCCGGGTTGGAAGCGCGGTTGTGGTGGTGGGGGGGGGGCGGCGGGGGCGGAGAAACAAACAGAGGCGGAAGGGAGAGATGACGAGCCTTGCGCCTGGCGTTGCGTCGCGTGCGGGTTCCTTGTGGGAGCCGTCGACCGGCGACTTTGTTTTTCTGTACAGAGGCAGCAGAGCATCGAGTTGTTTTGGATTAGGTAACGGCCCAGCCACGCCATTCCAAGTGGGCCAAAACAGCCCTACAAATCGAGGATATGTGAACTGAGCTGGGCCATTGGCCCGTCGGCGCCCCTGGAGTCGCCAGTGCAGGCACTTGTATCCCCAAAAAGAGCCCCAAAGGAGCTGACAATAGTATGAAGAAAAAGGACTCCGACTAGCGCCCGCAATCGTGCGCCCCTCCTGGACCCCCCTCTTGGACGCCCCTGGCACGACGGCTCGTGGATGCCAAGGGTGGCGAAACCCGTGGTCTGCGTCTGTCCTGGCCGCTGGAGCCGTGGGTCGCTGGCGCGGTCTACCGTTCTCTCGGCCAGACGCCGGCGCACCGCAGCGCCCCGCCCCAGGGTTCCTTGCTGAGCCCACTCGGCGTCTGAGCCGTGCAGATTCAGCACAAGAGGGGACACATCGTGCCAGAGTGAGGGGGGGGGGCAGGCGGAGTGGCCACCAGACCTCGGGTTCAACGTCCGAGGCGTCGGGGCAGAACCAGGATCAAGCTGAACATCCAGACGCAGACGCAAGACACGAGCGTGAGCCAGACGGGCATTGCTGCCCCCGAAGTTCTTCGTGGCACTTGAAGGGCGTGTCCCAAACAGTGGCCCTGTAAAAGACCAGCAGGTATCTGACCTTCACGGGCCCTCTGGCGCCATGCGCAAAACACGTGGCGAGTTCTCAACCCAGCATGGGCCAACCAGCCCCTTCTGGCCGAAGGCTCTATCGAAACAACCTGTGGACCATATGTGGCGAGGGAGGGAGGGGAGGGATATGTAACACACACATTAAGCTCCCCCCCCCGAGTGGGCACAGAAACCTTGGTACACTACGTTCTGCGCACGGTAGACTCAAGATAAGGAAAGGAGACATCATGAGACTAGGTAGACCCGCGGCGGCGCAGGAAGGCCTTACCTCCCGTCCTGGGCCGTCCCACTTCCGGCCTCGCCTCGTAAGCCGCACAGCCCAGCTCGAGCTTGTCACCAGACACCCGCCGCGGACACTCAATCGAGCGAAAGCTGAGCGGCTTTCTCGCCGCCTCGGATTTCCCCAGCGCCTCAGCCATTGCCTTGCCTGGGGCCTGCCGGAACCGCTTGCCCTTCTTGATCAGCTGGTCCTTGAGAAGCGACCGTCGTTGGATACGAACGTGCGTATTGGTGCAGCGCTGGAGCGCGCTGGAGGTGGTCCAGCGTCCTCGCATCCTCGCTATATCCAGGTCTCCTCCGTTCGCCACGTAGTGGGCTGCCCCCGCGTGTCTGATCCCGTGTTGCGGTCCAATCGCCGCCAGTATCAGCCTGACGAGAGATGCGTTCTAATCCCGTCGGTGCTTGTCGGGGGTAATAGGTATGACCAGGCATTTCTCTTAGATGTCCTGTTTGAGACACGCCAGACACTGTGATCGCTCCATCAGCGTGCCAACTTCTTGACCTGATCCCGTCTTCACTTTCTCACCGCTCGACCGGTTTCCCAATAGAAGCGCCATCCTGCGACTCGATTTTGATGCGATGTATGCCTTTCTCAGTTGCGCGCAGTCCTGCTCACGCATCCAGCCATCCAGCTGGATCACCACCGCGCAGGCCTCCAAAACGTTGCCGACGCGACAATGGTCAAGGATGATGAGAACGAGCCCCTGCTGGGGTATCGGCTGACCCTCTTGCCCCTGCTACTGTCGCTCCCAAACTTTGAGGGCCCCTGCCAGGAGTGGCACGGATTTCCTATGATCCTCGAAGATGTGCATGAAACCGTTGAGCAGCAGACTCCATCGAGTGTAGCCCAAGCCCCTCGCGTAGCACTAGTCACTAGTCGGCCAGGTAGGAGGCCAGCGCCTTGTCGCCTAGGAAGACTGAGTGGAGCGGCGCGTTCGTCCTTTTGGCGTCGATCGGGAACTCGGAACTCTCGGACCGCCTTCTCGTCAGCCACGTTTGTTTAGTCCTCGACCGCGTGGATCGGCAGCCTTTTGTTGAACTGCAGCTCCTGCTTGGGTGCTTTCTCCCACGCCAGCGCACCTCTGCCTTTAAGCGGTGGCGGCCTCGAAGGAGTCCTCACTCCGCTGACCACGTGCAGCATCAGGAAGACCAGCAGCAGCGTCCGGGATTCCTGACAGCCGCTCCGTGGTGAGTGGTGATAGGCACAAGCCCCGAGGGCGTAGGCCCTAGAGGACCAAGAGGAAATCCCCCACCATCCACACTGCGCCGACGTCGCGGTGCTCGGGTATAGGGACAAAACCCCGAAGGGCGTGGACACTGGACCCCTACCCAGATGGAGTCCCCCGAGACCCTCCTGGCACCTCAATGTCCCAGGAGCGCGCGGTATCGACCAGATGCGCGGAACCACGGCCAGGTCGTTGGCTTTCTTCGCGCCTTCACCGAGCATTGTCCTCCCTGGCCTCGGGGTGCGTCGCCATCGATGCTCCTCTTGCGCAGTGTTCGCCGCACCTATGCCCAGAGCCCGACTGGGTCCGTTTTCTGCATTTTCCTCCGAGGCGACCCACCTCAAGAAAAGTTTGATCGCGCACACCAGGACCACCTCCGCCGCCTGCCTCGCCAACGGTAGGAGGCCCGTCGCAGAAGACCTCCCCTTCGTAGCACCCCCTTGGGGACGAGCGAGTCCGAGAAGACCAGGACCAGCTTGCCCCGCATGCGCGTCGACCGCGAGAGGTGTCGCAGTAGTGCCCTTCTGGTCCGTAGCTCGAGTATTTTGTTGAGCTCCTCGAGCGCCCACCTCCCTTGGAAAAGTGGTGACCCTCTGTCCTCCACCGTCCACTGCGCAGAGGCGGGCAACGCCTGCCTTCGGGCCTTCACCACCTTCAGGACCCCCCTCTCCGATCCTGCCCTGCGTGCCAGGAAGGATGTTGGACCAGGCGGGCTCGATACTGCCCACAATTCTGCAGTATGCCACCCTCCAGTCTGCGCCATACCTGAATGCCGTCGCCGTATTCGTCGCGTCGCTCACCTCCCCGATGTTCGCTTCCAGCTGCCCGAAGCGGCTGTCGTTCGTCGCCAGGGTCGCGTCCCAAAATTCCGTCGTGCACCACCAAGAAGTTCATCCACATGTACCCAACGTCCCCGATGTCCTGCACCAGCGCCGTGAAGACCAGCCCATCGGGATGGCATGTCTTGGCCACCTCCAGCGCCAGGTGCTGCGTCAGGATGTCCCTTGTGGGTGCCACATGGATGAGCCCCACCACCATCTCCTCCCGATGCGCCCGAAGTGTCTCTCCGGCTCTCTCGGTACCAGCAGCACGAAGTTGGGGCCCCCGAGCAGGCCCGAAAGCTCGCACTATAGGTAGATACTGACGCGATCAGGTCGTCCGAGATCCGCTCGGCTCCCGAGTGGAGCTCCAAGAAGCCTGGGCGCCCAGCTGGAGATCCATCGTCGCCCCCCTCGCCCGACAACTGCACATCCTGGCTCATCTCCTGGGACGCCGCGTCGCTCCTGACGGCCCAAGGCTGGAAGTCCCCCCCACGTATTACTGCATTCGCTCGCCTTCGCCTCCGTATGCATCGCCCAGCACCTGAAGTCGGCAGCATCCGCCATGTAGAAGACCGAAACAGGCAAGGCCAACACCTTCTCCCAGCTGTCCTCCGCGATCTCGTTGAAGGAGTGGTACCTACTGTCCAGAGGCCAGCCGTACTGGCGTCACTGCCCCGTTCACCGCCAGAGCCTCCGTCGCCAGCACCAGGTCCCTCAACTTCTCGGGCTGCACGGTGATGGTGAAGGGGTGCCTTGGCACCGCGCCCTTCTCGATGCCCAAACTTTCCCCCAGCCCATGCCCCCAGTCCTCGTTGTGTACCTGCGAACCTCGAGCCTCCAATGTCCCCTTGAGCAGCACCTTGTCCACCACGATGTCGTCCAGCTTGGGGTCGATTAGCCTGAAGCCGATGTGGTCGCCGATGTACAGCAGCAGTATCATCTGACACGCCACGCTTGATCTTGGGGTAGGCCTCCCGCGCGCCAGCTCGCCCAAGCCGTGCCCCTGCACCTCCTTCACGACATCCTTGAGACACGAGTGGGCCAGGAAGACGGCCCACGAGTGCCCCATCACAGGGGCAATGGCCCCGATCTCCTCATCCTGCTCCGTCGGGAGCAGCTCCCTGCTCCCCAGGGCCTCGAGTGACAGGCCCGGGGGGCTCAGCGCACTCGGCGACCGAAGCCCCGTCCACGGCGGCCGCCGAAACCTGGGGTTGAGGCTTTGGCAGTCCCACGCCGCGCGCGAGGCCTTCACGGCCTTCGGCACATCCACCTTCAGGTTCTTCACCACCGTACAGATTCCGACCCTCTCCTTCACCTCCGCCGCGCACGTGAGCATGCCCGAGCCCCGCATCCGTCAGCCCAGAGCCACACGGTTTTCGGGGATCCTCAATCCAGGGTCGCTGTAGTTGTGCGTCTATCGTCTATTTGTGCTTGTCCCAGTCGGTCTCGTCGTCCGTCCGCAGCATCTGGCCTTCCACGTTCTCCAAGCACGGTGACGTCGTATGCGAGAGTCGCCTCCCATCGAGCCGCTTCGTCCCAGACCCTGGCACCGACACTTGCTCCGTGACCATGTCGCACAAGGCGCCCTTCTTGAGAGCGCCGGCTCCCCGCCTCACTCTCCCCGAGCCGCCGCAGCCCGTCCTCTGACCCTTTCTCAGACGGCCGAGAAGCGCTCTGCCATCGTTGATGCTCCCCCAGCTGGCGCGCGCCGCCAGCGGCCCCAAGAGCCTGCTGATGATCGTCCTCTGTGTCGGGGCAGCCTCCTCCCGCGAGCGTCTCGACGCCTGCCTCCCCACCTCGTCCAAACCTTAATGCGGCCGCGCGCCAGGCAGCGGATAGAGGCGACAGCCCGCGAATGCCTCCTCCACGTAACCCTCCGCTCCTCCTCCGTCGTGTCCGCGGAGAGCGCTCCCACCGCGCGATCAGGTGGCATTGGGGGATGCCGTAGAGGATACCGCTGTCGATCTCTTTGATCCGCCTTGGGATGTTTAGAGCATCTGGACGTCATGGCCCCGCTGAGAACTGACCTCGAACTGGTACGGCTGGATCTCCGCCTCCTCCTCCTCCTCTTCTTCTTCCTCCTCCTCCTCCTTCTCCTCCTCCTCCTCCTCCTCCTCATGAGTGCCCGGCAAGCACCAAGACCCAGCTGCTGAAAAGCACCGAGCCAGACGCGGAGCGGAAGGATTGCCCCCACTCGCAGTCGCCCGATCTCTCCTGAACCCTTGGGAAAAGGAACTACGCGGACTCGCGCACTGCGCGTCGGTTTGGCAAGGTGATTCCGCACATCACTTTTCCGCAACAGATTCGTTCGCGTTGCAACAACTTGTTGCATCACTGGATCTTGATCTTGAGTGGTTATTGCTGATCGCGGTCTCCCTCTTGAGACGCTCCGCCACCTTGTCATCTGCAGAGCCCTGCTTGCTGAGGTCCAGGTGCTGCTCGGCGTACGGCCTGTCGACCTTGCTCTTCCACTTTGATCCGTTGGCCAACTTGGGGCGACGCAAGTCCACGTCCACCTCGACCGTCTCGTAGGCCTCGAAGATCGAGTAGAGGCGGGGACTCGTGACCTCGGGAGTCTGTGATATTATCAGTGCGCCGCGCTCGCCGCAAGTCATGTAGGCCTCCGATGTGATCGAACGGTTCAGCAGCTCCTTGCTCCGCAAACAATTCTCAAGCTCGGAGCGCGCGCCGAACCTGCTCTTGTAGAGGCGAGCGAGCACAGCTGGAGCGACACGAGTCCTACCACCCAATCGAGCTTCCCGAACCTCACGATACGACTCCAGCGTGGCCACCAGTCCTTCCTTAGGCTGCTGAGCCTCGACCTCCAGCTGGGCCAAGGCCCCCTGCACATCCGAACATCAGGTGACGACACCTTCTGCCAGCTCGTAGGTGTAGTAGCCCCACTCGTCCCTGATGGCCCCTTTGCTCCACCCTCGGAGTCCACTTGCACGACCTCTTCGTGCTCCTGCAGCTTCTTCAGAGAGTCATCCACCTGGGGCCCCGTCGGTACCTTGGTGTCCCCGTCGCTGTCGGAGCTGAGCGTCCTCTTGGCCGATAATGCCGTGGTAGCTGGACGCTTCGCGGTAACCGCTGCCGGCCGATCCTTGACCAAGTCGGCCAGGAACACCACCGAGGCTTGAAGAAGATGCTGCCCGCGTGCGAGCTCCGTGAACAAATATCTTGAGTCAGCTTCGTCCTCCGAGTCTGCCGCCGACGTGCGACCCACGAAGTCGCCCTCCGAGGCCTCGCTCTCCGCGCTGCGGTGGGCATTGGGCACACGGCAAAGAAGAAGAGCCCCCTACCCAACAGATGATGCACAGACATGCGCACCCACTCCCGGCACGAGCAAATATGTTCTTTATCTCACTGTTTCCCTACATCTCCACAGCCGTCTCGTAGTACCGCTGAGCCTCCTCGGCGGTCTCACCCGCCGCGATGAAAGACTCGCAGGCCGCCTGGACGGTCGATCCAAGCCCCAACAAAAATCAAGCACGCCACCCGAGGAAACCCAACGCCAACGTGGCACCATCCGAATATCGTAATCATACATAGTTCAGGACGTGCATGACCCCGCTCGAGAGCCAGTTGAGCATGTGTTCCTTCTTGCTGCTCTTCTCCGGCTTCTTGGTCTTCTGGGCGATCTCGGTCTTCGCGTTCTCCGCCTCGAGCTCCCTCCGTGCTACGAGCCTTTCCGAAGCCGCCAGCATTCGATGCCTGCGCGAAGCACTCAGGCCAGGCCGTTCCGACCAGCTCAGGTCCTTTCTCGGTTTCGTGAAGATCCTGTCCTTGTCACGGGCATGCGCCACCTGTACCCGAAGGGTTAGGTCGCAAGCCGTCCACGGCGTACTACGCGCCCGACCGATCTTCGACATTAAGAGCATAACCACCGCGTTCTTGGAGTCCGTCTTGTAGTAGATCCTGTTCCGCCGCGCCCACGGCGCCATGACTACGGAGCTTGTGATTTCGATCTCGCTTGCGTCCTCGAAGCCTGAGCTCCTTCGAAGCTGGACTCGAACTCTTCCGCCTGCGCAGCCCAGAAGGGACGGCCCTCGTCTGCTATGTCTCCCCCGTGCCACCCGAGAACCACAGCCACGGCGTACCATACTGGTTTCGCCTTGGCAAACGGAAGCGGGGTCAGTCCTCACCCACACGGTGTTCATTGACAACATGAGGTTCGTAAGATCTCGTTGGAAGTCTCTCGAGCCGGCACTTGAGCAGCGGCAAAGCCGATGATTTGGAGAGAGAGAGAGAGAGAGAGGGAGAGGCGGTATAACGAGGGGGTGCGATCAGTGAACGGTGCGTCTTTAAAGATGCATACGGCCGCCGAAGGGTCTTGATCGTGGGCCCTCTCGTCGGCCGAACGGGCTCATTCGCCGAGCGGACCGAGGAGAGAGCCCTATGGTGGCGGCGTCTGAGCCCGTTCGGCCGCCGAAGGGGCTCGATCGTGGGCCAAATTGGCGGCCGAACGGGCTCAGTCGCAGAGGAGGAACATCGACGGTGTGACTTTTTCAATCGCGGCGTTCGTCCTTCAGTTCGGCCTCGGGGGGTCCGCTTCCTGGCCTTGGGGCAATCAAGAACGTACAGTGGAACATTCGAACTACCCCTTGGGGAGGTCTGGAGCTCTGGGGCCGCGGAGTGAACGAATCGTACCCGGACGTCTGGGCACCGCAGCGCATTGAAGATATCTTACGGAGGTTTTGCGTCACGGGGGCCTCTCGCCAGGCCCCGGGACCGTCCAAGCACGATTCCAGACGAAAGGTCTCTTTGGGGAGAGGGTCGGGACTCCTGGGGGCCCCGTACAGCTTTGAAACGCCAAGACGTCGGATGTCTGGGCCAGGGGTTGCAGTGACCGAGCCCGAGATGGCCCGAGCGCCAGCGCAAGCGCAAGCGCGAGCTGGTATATCCATCGATCCCTTCGCAAGGATGAGCTCGCCGGCGCGCGCGCGCTGGGCACCGACCTGCAGATCCTCTGGCTGGCCTGGTCGCCTCCCTGGCCCTTCGAGCGGGCTTTGCCTCAGATCGCCACTGCGGCGCTGCAGCCCATTCAATGGCTTCCCTGGCGGCGGGGCCAGAGCCTCGCCCGGAAGGCGCCGATGCTGGGCCCCCCCGACGTCGCGACCCATAGCTCGCAGCGTGATTTTCTCCGAGGTCTACGGGCCCCTTCCCCAGGACTGGTGATTCAGAGGAGGGCCAGCTGAGACGACGGCAGTTGGCCTCTGTGGGGGCTCCCTCGTCGCCAGGGCTGGACGCAGCTCGGAAAACAGGTGCGCTTGGACACTTGCCATACACCTGTCAGAGATCCAATGAAAACGCAGCAATTTTCATGGACTCTAGAAGTCGTGAAAGAGGAGCTAGAATCTGGACTGGCCTCTCGGCGTTTTCTTGGAGCTTGTTTCTTCGTACAGCTTTCGTATACCTGGACTTGGACTACTGTTTAAGAAAACGCCCGGAGTGAAGGTCACTATCTTGGCGTAAAATGGTCTTTTGCAAGGGTGTTGCACGCAGCCGCGCGCAGAGGGGGGCAGGAGAGGGGAGGGCTTCTTAGACGCACCCCTGCTTCCCAGAAGGCGCGGGCCTTATCTGTAGATGTAGAGCCGGCGCCCTCTGAGAAGCAGCCTCCTTCTACGAAGCCCTTCCCCCTCCCCCTGCCCCCTCTTGCGCGCCGCCACAGCACAGCCTTCTTCTGCGGTCCGCGTCGCGACGTGGGCAGGGCCCAGGATGCCCGCGGCGCGACGCCGGGGCCCGCGCGCATGATGCGCCGCGCCCGCGCGGGCGCGCCGGCCCGCGCCGCGCCAGCGCTGGCCGCCAGCGCTGGCGCTGGCACCTGCCGCGCCGCCGCTCGGAGAGGCTCGGTGTGCGCAGGCGTGCTCGCGTCGTAAGGGTGACGCCCTCGCGGCACAGGACCCTAAACATCAGAGGATGAAGGGGTACTCATACCGCTGCCCTTGCCTCGTTTTCCCCGTTTCGGGTCTCCTAGGAGGCCCTCGTCGCCACCGCTGGATCCGCTTCGAAATCCGGATCAGAACGCACCCCAGGAGGTCCGGGGAGTAGCGGTATCGGTACCTTTCTGTCTCCCCAGCACAGCCGAAGGAAACACGGGCGGGGGGGTCCATACGGGAGACCACACGGAGGACTAGACGGTAAACCATGCGGGAGGACCTACAGGAGACCATATGAGAGACCGTCCCCGAAACCATCTGCGAGACCGTGCGGGGGGCCGTACGGGGGGATCGCACGGGAGAACGCACAGGAGTCCATACGAGAAGGAATACGGGATACCAGAGACAAATGTCCAGACTCATGCTGTCTTGCTAATTCCGATCTGCACACCAAGACGCCCGACCAGTTCCGGATCTGGATCGCCCCGTATTCGGTTTCTTAGAGGATATATACATCTACCCGGGGAAGGAAATCGGGGCCCAGAAACCACGGCCTCGAACCCCCAATCTGGGTCCACCCCCCCCTGGGGCCTCCTCGGCCGCTCCCCGGCCGCTCAAGACAGCCCTTGGGACGCTCCAAGTGCGCCCACGATGGCTTCCAGACTGCCCAAGAGGTTGCCAAGAGCACCCGAAAGCGCCACAAAGGGTCCCCAGGACTGGTCAAGATGACTTCCCAGTGCCCTAGATGGTTTCAAGACGGTCCAAGAGGCCCCGAAAACGCCCCAAGAGGCCCCAACGAGGACCCCCACGAAGCAAAAATCGGCACATTCCTTGCGGAAAACGTACATTTTTAGCATATTCGCTTGTTTGGTCTCGAGAGCGCCCAAGACGTCCCAAGAAGCCCCCTAGATCCTCCCAAGTCGGCCCCGGAGGCCCCAAGAGGGCCCCAAAACGGCCCAAGAGAGCACCAAGACGGCCCAAGAGAGCCCCATGACGGCCCAAGAGCGGCCTCAAAGGGCCCAAAAGGCTCCCAAGAGAGTCCTGCGCGAGCCACAGGAGACCCCCAAGAGGGCCCAACAGGGTCCCAAGAGAGCCCCAAGACGGCCCCAGCCTCCCAAGTCTGCCCAACAGCGCTCCGGGACGGCCTTCGAGGGCCCCATAAGAGCCCCAAAAGACCCCAAGAGCGCCGCCAAGAAGGCCCAATCATGCCACTCTGTGTGGTTTTCTGATGTTTACGCGTTCTCGCCTCTCCAGTCTCTCAGAACCCCCAAAAGGCTTGAAAAATTCGCTCTACCAAGAGGCACCCGAGCAGCACGCCAAGATATCCCAACCAGGTGTGACACGCCTCTGGCCACAATCCCGGCACGGTGGCAGTACGAGCCAAAGGCTCTTGAGGCTTCCAAGAGGCCCAGAGAACCCTCTCAGAGGCCACGCGTCTACACCTTAAACGATGTTTCCACAGCGGTTTCCAGAGACTTCGGTTCCGAGATGGAGGCCTCCCTCGAGACCCTTCAGAGCGCCACAGGGGCCTCACATACATTTCCTACACGATATTGCTTGAGAGGCTCACGGGAGCATCGATTCAGAACTGGGTCCATCACAACCCTCCCTGGGATGCGACACCGGGCGTCGGACGCTTCTTTCGCCGTCGACACTCCCAAGTCCCGCGTGCTCTGCCTGCTGCGATTCGTCGTCGCTGGCAGTTGGTGCCTTCGGGTTCGTGCCCTAAGGGGGAGGGGGGGAAGAAGTACGAGGAACGGGAGACGAGGACGAGGAGGACGAGGAGCAGTAGGAGGAGGAGGGGGAGGAGAAGGAGGAGGAGGAGGTGGAGGAGGAGGAGGACGAGGAGGAGGAGGAGGAGGAGGATTCGCATTCGTAACGGGAAGGGACATTCGTACGGGGACGGGGATCCCGAGCATCATGCGTGAAAAGGGAGAGGCAGGAAGGGCGTCTTCCACAAGCCGACATGGTCGGCGGATTGGGCCCCAGGTGTCACGAGGGCCCCAAGAGAAGGTCAATATGGCCGAGATCAGTTCGAATCACAAATGGTCAACGCTCTGGCAAGACCCAAAAGATCCCAAATACGGCTCACAGATCGCAGACGCGACCTCATGATAGCCAGTGGAAACACCGGGACCCCTAACACGCCGTTTTTGGGGGAGGGCTTCCACCCTCCCCAGGGCCTCGCTTCTCATCCTCCTCGAACTTCGATCGTCGGTTCGGCCCCCGCCGCCGTCGCTGCCGCCGCTTCGGTTGAGCCTGGGCTGTAGGTCAGAAGCTCCGCCTCCTTCCATACCTTGCCTCCGGGTCGCGTCGGGCACTTCGTCTCCTTTTCTTTATTTCAGTGGGTGTAGGACCTTATCGGGGAACCAGGAACCCACAGGGAGCGTTGCCTGGTGACCCCGTGGGGTCGTCCCCTTAGGCAGCGTCCCATTATCGATCTCACACTCGATCCCACCATCGAACTCACTATCGACCTCACTCGAGTGATTTCACAATCGATGTCATTATCGATCGCGAGATCGATGCCCATCTATCGATTTCACGACCGATATCACTATCGATCTCACTATCGATCCCACTATCGTTAACACTACCGATATCACTATCGATCTCACTACCGATCTCACTATCGATCTCACACCGATCTGACTTTCGATCCCTTGAACAATCTCACGAACGACTTCATTTTCGATCTCACTATCGATTTCACTATCGATCCCAACATCGATATCACTATCGATCTCATTATTGATCTCACAATCGATCTCACTATCAATTTCAACATCGATTTCGCCGAGGGACACCACAGAACACCGACGGGACGCCACGGGATACCGACGGGACACCGACTCGACAATGACGGGACAGCGACGGGACAGCGACGGGACAACGACGGGGCACCGACGGGACACCGACAGGAAACCGACGGGACACCAACGGGACACCGACGGGACAGCGACGAGACACCACTGGGACACCGAAGGGAAACCGCCGGGACACGACGGCGGGACAACATTGGCCAACGCTGGACCACCAGGCGGATGGGGCGGTCAACGGCTCTTGACCCGCCCTAGCCACAGCGGAACTATTCTTCTCGCCCGCCCACGCAGCTTCGCCTCGCACGCACGACACGAACCCGAAACCGAAACCCATTTCCTGGTGGGGGGCTCTCCGTTCCACTGCGATCTCACCCCCTCGCTTCCGACCTCTTCAGTGTTTCTTGGGGCCGTCTTGGAGGCCGCTTGGAGGCGGAGAACAAAGTGGAGGATCCCAATATGTTGTAATTCTTCCTTGGCCTGCGCTAGAACCTAAGCGCGCGCGAAGCGCGCACTTCGATCGTCGGTTCGGCCCCCGCCGCCGTCGCTGCCGCCGCTTCGGTTGAGCCTGGGTTGTAGGTCGGAAGCTCCACCTCCTTCCATACCTTGCCTCCGGGTCGCGTCGGGCACTTCGTTTCTTGTTCTCTATTTCAGTGGGTGTAGGACCTCATCGGGGAACCAGGAACCCACAGGGAGCGTTGCTTGGTGACCCCGTGGGGTCGTGCTTTCCCCTTAGGCAGCGTCCCACGATCGATCTCACAATCGATATCACCATCGACCCCATTATCGACCTCACTCGAGCGATTTCACAATCGATGTCATTATCGATCGCGAGATCGATGCCCATCTATCGATTTCACTACCGATATCACTATCGATCTCACTATCGATCCCATTATCGTTATCACTAGCGATCCCACCATCGATCTCACTACCGATCTCACGATCGATCTCACACCGATCTGACTTTCGACCCCTTGAACAATCTCACGAACGACTTCATTTTCGATCTCACTATCGATTTCACTATCGATCCCAATACCGATACCACTATCGATTTCACTATTGATCTCACAATCGATTTCATTATCAATTTCAACATCGATTTCACCGAGGGACACCACAGAACACCGACGGGACGCCACGGGATACCGACGGGACACCGACTCGACAATGACGGGACAGCGACGGGACAGCGACGGGACAACGACGGGGCACCGACGGGACACCGACAGGAAACCGACGGGACACCAACGGGACACCGGCGGGACAGCGACGAGACACCACTGGGACACCGACGGGAAACCGCCGGGACACGACGGCGGGACAACATTGGCCAACGCTGGACCACCAGGTGGATGGGGCGGTCAATGGCTCTTGACCCGCCCTAGCCACAGCGGAACTATTCTTCTCGCCCGCCCACGCAGCTTCGCCTCGCCCGCACGCACGACACGAACCCGACACCGAAACCCATTTCCTGGTGGGGGGCTCTCCATTCCACTGCGATCTCACCCCCTCACTTCCGACTTCTTCGGTGCTTCTTGGGGCCGTCTTGGAGGCCGCTTGGAGGCGGAGAACAAAGTGGAGGATCCCAATATGTTGTAATTCTTCCCTGGCCTGCGCTAGAACCTAAGCGCGCGCGAAGCGCGCGCGTGGTTCTGGTATATATATATATATATATATATATATTCATAGGACCCTTACAGACAACCTGTTGAGGGAACCAAGACAAATACGAAGACTCCCTATACGTATATCTCAAGCAGTGGCGAAGCGTCCTGGCTCGCCCATAGCCCTACCAAACAATGCTGTAAGACCCGTATGTGGTCTCCACACACATATTCTTAGAACATTTCTGGCGGAGCCTGTCTTGTTTTATCACATCGGGTTAATTTTCTAAGAGCATTGTTGTTATTGGAACATGTCGGGTTCTACGAACATTTCGTGGTAGGACTATAGGAATGCTGGGACGGTCGGACCCTGCTCAAATATTCAATTTGAAGCGACTGCTAAGACAAATGCGTTCCAGATACGGATGCCCCCCCGTATTCGATTTCTCAGACAAAGTAAGATGGACCCTTAGAGACGAGCTGTTTCGGAAACTCAAAGAAGTAGTAAGATTCTGACTGCGTATATTCGGCGACTTCGCTTTCAGACACTTGGTGTTCATATATGACGAAGACACATGCGAATACTAGTACGTTACCTAGGACATTCTTTATAACACGAAGACAAGTAATTTCGTTTCCACGATCTGTTCTATTGGTACGAGTACTACTACAACTACAGCTACAACTACGACTGCCACTAAGCCCACGACTTAGATGAATAGGCCTACGATTGCGAATGCGAGATCCAGTGCAAATGCGCATAGTAATTCCAAGATCGATCCGAACGATACCTCTACGATTGGAGGCTACGGGCGACCACGGGAGACCAAGGCGCCCGACCGATTCCCGATCCAACGATGCCGGGGAGGCCACGGAGGGCCAAGGCGCCCGACCGATTCCGCATTTGGGGGTTCCCGCAGTCGGCGTCGCAGAAACGAGAGATAGAACCTTTACACAGGAACAGTTCAGGGGAAGTCACGACGGAAGACTTTTTGCAATTTCTGGCCTCTGGGGCCCTTCGCAGGGCCTCTACGCATTCGGCGGAGGCGCTTGTTGAGGTTCGAGGGCTGTGGGACGCCTATGCTCTGGACCTCCTGGCCGCCGCGACTGCTCGGTGTACATTTTGAGATCGCGAAAATCACTGGAGCCCTAGACCACATCTCTCTGCGCCCTTTCAAGCTGCACCGATCTGTCAGGGCCCTGGGGCCTGGAATTGTGCGGAAACGCCCAGCTCGAAAACATTGAGACGGCCAGATCTCAGGGTATACCATTCTAGGTCTCCCAGGTGGGGTCCGAGAAGATGGGGTCAGAGGATCGCGCCGCATCGCCGATGCATCAGCGATGCGGCTCGATGTGGAATCCGATCTTCTCCACGCCGACGGCGCCCACGCGTCGCCGACGTCGGCGATGCATTGGCGATGCGGCGCGATCCTCAGACCCAATCTACGCGGGCCCCATCTAGGAGGTCTCTGGCATACTACCCCCCCTGCATGCCAACCTCCCACGCATGCCAATCCTGGAGGCGTTTGATCCCAGCCTCGCCCCCCTGTATGCCAACACCCCCTGGCACCTAGCGAGAAACGCCACGCCCGCCCGCCACCCCCACGGACGCGCCACGGCCAACTCCTCCTCGCATTCCAAGGAGGGGGGGGAGGGGGGCGATCACTAAAAGAGAACCAGAACCCCGACGTCATGATTTCCCCAACGGCGATCCCAACGGTCTCGACCCATATCCTCGGACCGGTTTCTCATCTTGAGTCGTTTTTGACGGCCCCGAGGCCTTGCAAGGGCCCCCAGAGGCCGAACTCCGCCAAAAACCTCTCGTCGTGATTTTTGTGCCATGACTCCCAGGGGGTCTGGGTAGTATATCTCGGCCCCCCCCAAATGCGGGCAATAGTTATATCCACATCCAGTGCGTCTTAGAGTCTTGGGCTCTCTTCCCCGGAAATGGTAGACGCACTGGATTTGGATAAGCATCTGGCCCCAAGAGGTTTGATTTTATCCATATCCAGTGCGCCTCGGCGTTGCGGCACCTCTTCCTAAAAAGTCCAAGACGCTCTGGCTATGGATATAAGTAGTGCCCGCACCAAAGGCGCTGGCGCAACCACGCGCGCCGCGCTGGCCGGGCTGCTGCTGCTGGCCGCGCCGTGCGCGGCCGACCTGCTGCCACCGAAGGCGGTGGAGCCCGCCGCCGCGGCGCCGGAAGATGCCGTCCGGGCCCTTGTGGCGGCTTCGCGTAAGTCGGGGCTCAAGCGACGGGGCGCGCACACGCGCACACGCGCACACGCGCACACACGCACACACGCACACGCGCACACGTGCACACACACACACACACACACACACACACACACACGCACACGCACGCACACACACACGCACACACGCACACACACACACACACACACACGCACGCACGCACGCACGCACGCACGCACGCACGCACGCACGCCAGATCTTGCAGGATCCTGCAGAGCCAAAGCGGGCCCCACGATGGCCCCAAGAGGCTGCTAAGACGCTCCCACAGCGAAAGATCGCCAAGGTCTTGATATTGACTCCTGTCGTCGTCGTCGTCGTTGAGGTCGCCGCCGCCGCCGTCGTCGACGGCCGTCAGCCGTCGGCCGTCGGCCGTCGGTCGTCGGTCGTCGGACGTCGCCGACTGACCGTCGTCCGTCGTCGACCGACGGTCGACGGTCGACGGTCGACGGTCGTCGTCGTCGTCGTCGCTCGTTCGTCATCGTCCGTCGTCGTCGTGGTCAGCGTCGCTATCGTGGAAGATCGAAGTTCGCGGCTTTGGTCGTCTGGCCGCGGAGTCAGAGGTACGAGGGCCGGATGTTCCTGTTTCTGCTGTCGTGGCCACGGTTGGGTTCTTTTCGAATGTCCACTCAGAAGGCACCCCTGAACTGAACAGATTTGGGGGTCGATTTACGTATAGTAGGAGACGACGACGAGACGACCACGACGGTGCCATTGTCGTGGTTTCGGAGGTTCTGGGGCGTCTCTGGTGGTTCTCCGTCGCCTCGGCTGCACGCAGCTAGGAAAGCTGGCTTGAATTGACCGCGGGAGTGGTCCAGGAACCCATTCTGAGCGGATTCCAGTCGGAAGACGAACACATCCAGCGTCTTGAAGAAATAAGTCAAGGGGAGGGTCTTCATTGCTGTCGGCCCTCAGGATGTCAAACAACCCGCACGGGATGAAGAACCGATCCGCAAGGAGGGGTCGAGAGGTCCCGGAGGGGCGCTGGTTACAAAAGCATGACGTCGGAGTTTTGGATCTGACGTCACGGCCAAAGAAGCAACACAGCCGTGCAATTCGGGGGCCGATGTTTGGCCTCCGCCCCCACCCGCGCACCTTGAGCCGGGCCAGCTTGTTTGCGTGGGTGGTTTGCAAACATCGTATCCCCAGGGGTTGACATCTTTGTAAGCAACCCCCAGTCCGCGGTCTTGTGCCAGACCAGCTTGTTTGTGGGGGTTGTGTACAAAAACCGTGCCTCCACAAGTAATGTTCCGAGCCAGATTGGCTCAAGCAAGACTCTCGCTCGAAAGCCTGCTTCGCCAAGGCCAGCACCTTGCAGGGGCCCCCGCGCACCGTGCGCGCAGTCTGGCAAGGAGACTCGGCGGCGCCGACCAGAATGGGCGACGGCGCCGCCGGACCGGCGGCCCCGACCGTGGAGGTGATGTTCACCTGGTGAGTTCGACTACACGTAAGAGTGACCCTTCGCCTGAGTGACCTTTGGTGCGAGCCTACTGGGGCTCCCCGATCGCCGAACGCGATGCGATCGTAGCGTCTTGCGCGCTTGTGTTTGGTCTCCCCGCCGCCCCCACAAAGACGGGCACCAAAGGTCACTCACGCAGGGTCCCTCTCCGCGCGTAGCCGATGAGCGCGTCTGCGCCCCTGGAACCGGCTGCGGCAGCGGAGCTTCCATCCGCCATTTCCGATTTTGCGGGGCCTGTGGTCGAGCCTCCGGGTCCGATCGCGGGAGGGAGCCCGCTCAACTTGGCGCCGCACTTCGTCGGTTGACTCGGAGGAGCCTTCTCGTTCATGTGCGCTCTGACGATGGAGGCAATCGACAGCTGGACTCGCGTGTTCGACTTTTCCCTCTATGCTGACTAGGACAGCATCACAGCTGGGGCCATCGATCTCACTCACCGCCTTCCGGGGCAAGAAGCCGATCATCGTGCGCGCAGATAACTTCTTCGAGCTTGGAAAACAGTTCACCTTTCCGTGCACGGTCTCGGACTCGGGGCACATGAAGGTGTTCAAGGACGGCGCGCTGGCAGGCGAGAACGTAGAGGGCATGGCCACCTTATGCACCGAGAGGCCGCGCACGTTCGTGGGCGGCGACTACCAGCACCGCAATCAGGCCTTCCGCGGCAGCATCAGAAACGTGAAAGTTTGGAATCGGGAGGTCTCGTGGCCAGCGCTGCCTGCCGCTCCCTGCGAGGCCGCCGAGGAGCCCGGCCAGGCGCTGGACGACGCCCCAGCGCCCTCGGACCCGGACACCCCGCGCCCCGCGCCCGCGGCCGGCGCAGGGGCCGCCGCGGAGGAGCGCGACGAGGGCGCTTTGTCGGCGCGTGAGGCGCGCGTGTGCGCCCCCTCTGGAAGGGTCGGGCCCCTCTTCGGGGCCGCCTGGCTGCCCAGGAGCCCACGGGGCCCACCCTGCGGGCCTGGGGAACCAGAACTCTATCAGTTGGCAACGAGCAGGTTCCCTGGCGCCGATGCCACCGGTAGCCGACTGGCTCTGATGTTTCAGGCCACGTGCGCTGATGTTTCAGGTGCCATCGGTTCTCGGGCTCGCTGGCGTTGGGGCTCTGCGCGTCCCTGAGGCACCCTAGCACCTCACCAGGCAGAGCCATTGTAGTACTTGTGGCGAGCGCCAGTGCTGGCGTCACGTTACTCATGCCAGCTACACCAGCGTCGGCAAGCGCGCCAGTTGCAGACTCGACCTTGCACATGTGCCATTCCTGTTTCTGCCGCAAGCAAGAAACAGACAAACACAGCCGTGAAGCAATGCTCTCAGGCGTCGCGTCGCGTCTTTGTGAACAGTTTGATACGTCGCGTCGCCGCTTCCGCCTCGAAGCAAACGCCTCTGGCGTCGCGGAGGGAGCAAAACGTTCCGGGCGTTCTTTGTGTGCCCGTCCTGGGTCCGGGTACCTTTACGGATCGATCCGACTCGAGCGGTGCCGCAGAAAGATTATTACGCTAAGAGTTCCATTCGTAAATTTTTACCGCGTTTGTTTAGACAACAACTCACGGGAGTTTCCGCTCGTCTTGCAGCGACTGGATATCGGCAAGCAGCGCCTAATAACCGGCGCACCGCGCCCAATAGCGCTCAATAGCGCGCTCAGTAGCGATCGACAGCGCCCAGTAGCGCCGAATAGCGCCCACGTGGCGCCCAATAGCGCCCAATCGCGCCGTATGAGATGGATTACGCAAGTTTCGCGTACTATTGTTCGCGCTCTTTGGCGCCATGGGGGCGACCCATAGCTTCCGTAAGTTGCTTTCCAAAATTGTCCGCGTTTCGCTCAAAGCATCGGAGCTCGGGATCTTGAGATTTCCCAGCCCCCCGACGTTGCGATTCGTTGTGCACGGGGTCCCCAGAGGTCCCGACCCCTTCCCTGCAGTTGGCTTTCGTTCTAGATTGTTCTGACGGGCCCAGGGCCCAGAAGGGGGGGCTTCGGACGCCGAAACTTCCGGAACATGTCTGCGTTGGTCTATTCAAGACGTTGGAGATTTGGGCTTAGAGTGTGTTTATACAATGGGTTTCCCCTATTCCGCCGACCCTCAAAAAAGAGAATTTACGGCGACCGGTTTCGCATATGTTGTGTGCCGTTTTCCGTCGTTGTGCTTGCGTGCAGTTGTTGGTGATTCGGCGTCCTCTTTGTCCGTGTCTGTTGAGGGGCTTCTTGGGGCCTCTTGGAGGCCTCAGAGGCTGCAGCATGAAAGCCTTTTGAGGGCTCCCGGGGCGAGGGCTTTGGGAGGGCCCCCTGTGAGTTTCTTGGGGGGCAACAGAGGGGCATGTCACGGACTTTGGGGGGCCATCTTGTTGGGGGGGGAGCTCCTGGGCCCCCTTGGCGAGATCCCCCTCTTGGGCCTCTCTTGGGCCCCTCGGCATGGGGCCCTCGAGAAGGCCTTCTTCGGAGTGTCGGGGTCCACCTCGGCCAGCGTGGGGCCCTCTTGGGTCGCCTCGGGGCCCTCGTGGTGGTCTCCCGCGCTGGTCTGGAGGGCCTGCCGGGCCGCCTTCGGTTTCCAGAAGCCCGAAAACGACATGGCGGTAGCGAGCCCTCCTGGGCCGTTTTGGGGCCATCTTGGGTGTCCTCCTCCTCCTCCTCCGCCTCCTCCTCCGCCTCCTCCCCCGCCTCCCCCCCCGCCTCCTCCCCCGCCACTTCTGGCGTGGAAAGCATCTAGGACGCCATGGGGCCCCCCCTCCTTCGCCAGATTTTGACCTCTGAGTAGGGAGAGGGGAGGGGCACTGGGGCAGGAGCACATGCAAACCCACCGCCGGCGTGATGTTGCCCCCATCGTACTGAAGGACCCCATCCCAGAAATACTTCCAAGCGACCCGATAAGTATCCAAACAGTGTCTGCCCGACACGCTGGCGGGAGTGCCGGACGATTATCGCCGCCCAGGACCCGATGGGTGAACACGGTCCAGTTTCGATATTTTCTTGGTGTTCGAATTCACTTCAAGGCTAAAGTCGGTTGGAGCATCATAATCCTTGTTCCGATGTCGGCCCTCCGGGGACATTCTTTGGCCCCAGGACGCGTCTTGCCGCTTCGACCGCGCGGGACGTTTGCCAGCGTTGCCACGGGTATTGGAAATTGCAGGACCGAGTGATGTGTCTTAACGATGAAAAGTTTCCACTACAAAAAAGACGGTTCACCCGAATGGTAAAGCAATGGTTCACCCAAATGGCATGGGCCCAGGCCGGCGATCCGAAGAAAGTTGGAGTTTGTTCGACAACAGTTCGGATCCCGCAAAAACGTTGTGACCTGGACCACGCCCCTACCAGGGGAAACGAACACGGTAAAGCCGACGTCGGAGAGGTCAACACAAACGACGCCAGAAACAGGAAAATATCAAACAAGGAAAACAGTGCAAACAAAAAAGACACAACTTTGACGGTTGGGGTCTGAGATCTCCCCAGACTTCTGACGAGGTGTTCTTCTCCCGTCACCCCAAGTGTTTTTTGTTTTTCTCTAGGCACCCACGCGCATGACAGAGAGAGAGAGAGGGAGAGAGAGACAGCGAGAGAGAGAAGGAGAGACACAGAAAGAACAAACAAAGGGAAGACAACAGCGCACCCGCACACCCTCATCTCCGCTCGTGTCTCCTCTATTGCTCACACACTCACCACATCAACATCATCATCGTCACCAGCATCATCATCATCACCACCATCGTTCCCTCGATGTTACCGGCATCATCACCACCATCATCACATGCTTCACCACCATTCCATGACTATCAACATTCACATCAAGATCACGATCGTCATCGTTATTATCCGCATCACCATCATCATCACACTGCACGCTCGCAACGGCGTCGTCGCCATCGTCACTTCACCAACACACACACACACACTCGCACACGCACGCCTGGCGCTCTGGGCGCCGCTCTGGGGGCTCCAGTTGGCCTACCAGCGGCAGAGGGCTCTGGCTGCGGCAAGAGGCCAGCCTGGGGCACACATCGGCACCACCCAACCATACTTGCACTAGATGCGCGTTGGCCATGCAAGGGCGGCGTTCTGAAGTCTTCTAGTACACGCTCTGTGGCGGGCGCTTCCTGGCCATCCTTGTCGGGAAGCGATCTTCTACAAGATGTTGCGTTACATGATCGGGTCGGACGTGCGTCTGCAACAGAGGCACATCGTACTCGTATGTCCATCTGCTTCTCAGCTATCCTACGACTAATCCAGCTGCCTAACTACGGTAAGTGCCGCCACAGTGCTTGGGTTGTGGTTTATAAGCCTAGTGGATGTTCGTTGGAATCTCGTGGGAGACCTCTCGGGGACCTCTTGGAGGCAGTTGTGAGGCCTCTTGGGGCCTCTTGGTGGTCTCTTGGTGACATTTTGAGGGCCTCTTGGGGACCTCTCGGGGGCCTCTTGGGGCCTCTTGGCTGCGCGATCACTCGACCAGTCTGCAGTAGGCAGATCACATGGGAAGCTGGCCTGCCAGCAGATGCCCCCTGGACCCCGCGCCGCGAGAGCACCGCGACGTCGAAGGCCCCCGCGAGGCCCGGTGCCGTCGCGTGGCGCGGCAGCTTTGGGCGGCCTCCGGTTTCCATCCTAAGAGCGGCGGTTCTTTGTAGCGCAAGAGCCGCCAGACGGTCAATTTTGATAGTAAGGATGCGCGGTGCGGTCAATTCGGTAAGGATGCAAGCCCCTTGGACGCCCATGTCGAAGCTGTTCGAGCGGGGCGGGCAATCGGAAGTGCTTTTGAGGTTGGACCGGGGATTACCGAAGTGGCAAGGATGTGAGGGTACCCTTGGGAAGTCGATCGCCCTCACCATCAGTGTCGACTGTACCACTGTCGCTGCAATTCACGGCCGCTGGTAGCCCGGAGCAGGCCAGCTCGGTACGCCTGGCCCCGGACATACCCTGTCATGCCCAGGTCGCCGCAGTTGCCAGACCCAGCAGGTGAGTGAGTGGACGCCTGTTTTGTCGGCGCACGTCGCTTGCTCTCGTACTGGCAAAGGTTTAGGAATCTGCCCACAAAGGCTGCCGAGCACGATGGTCCGACGCATGCTCGACGTGGATTCTCCGAGCCCCGAGATCCAGGCGTGACAATTTTCTCCACGGGCGATTCTGCCTCGCTTCGGGCCCCGGGGCCCTCACGGATCGATCTGGCTCGATAAATGCGGCAGACAGAGTAGGGTCTTGGGATCCGGTCGTGATTTTCGCGGTGTTTCACATTTTTGGGGCACGTCGGATTTCAGGGAGCGGGATAAGGTACCAATATCGTTACCCTCCCCTGGTTTTCGCTTTTTGGGGCCTCCCTTGAAGCCCGCGTCCCCACGGCTGGTTTCGCCTCGGGAGAGGTCTGGGGTGTAGTGGTACCGGTATCGTTTAAGATCTCCAGGTTCGGTGCGGGTTCGACGTGGATTCGATGTGGATTCATGGAATCGGCGCGGCTTCGTCGCTGATGGCGGTGCCTCTCCGACGATGCAGCGCATGCGAGTGGCCGTCGGTCGACATCATCAGCAGCAGCATCCGCAATATTAGCATCATCCGCAGCAGCAATCAGCACCATCAACATCATCGAGGTCTGGTACGCGACGTTGGTCGTGCGCAATCTGGTCGGCGGCGGCTCTGGGAACATCACCGTCCGCGTGCACCCAGAGTGGGCGCCGACTGGGGCTGCGAGGTTCGCCGAGTTGGTGCAGAGCGACTTCTTCAGGGGGGTGCGGTTCTTTCGCGTGATCAGCGGCTTCATGGCCCAGTTCGGGACCTCGCGAGCGACGAACCCTGGGTTCGTTCCAGGCGCTGTGACTTTTTAGCGCCCAGGGCGTTTTTGCTCGGTTTCGGGCCCTGGACCTTCACGGATCGAGCCGGCTCGAGACATGCAGCAGAAAGATATGGGGTTACCGTCGTGGTCTTTCGTGCAGTTGTAATTTTTCGTGACGTCGGATCTCAGGAACATGTGTCCATATCCAGGCCCTCGCGGGCTGGGCTCCAAGGCGCGATCCCATGCATGAGCAATCCCAATGGTTGCGCCCCACGCGGGGCATCCACGCAAAGCCGCCGTGCATCCAAGGGGTCGCGGCCAAGGAGTGCAGAGCGCGAGAGCGTGGAGCGTAATCGAAATAGGTGACCCCGACCTTCCCGTCCTCTCTCAGGGGGGGGCGGCGCGCCCGGTGGGGAAATATGTATAACTCTCTCCCAACGGTTGCTGCGGCTGCGGAGTTGCAGCGTTTCAGTTTGTGTTGCCTGCTGTGATCCGCATGATGTCGAGAGACGCGGCTCCGGCGGTCTTGGGCCTCTCAGGCATTTATTCGTTACTCGTCGTATCAACGTTTCTGTTGATGGTTCTTGGACTCGCATTCCGTGGGTACGTTTCCCACCCGTCAGGATCTCCGGTGACCCGCAAACGGCGCGGCGCTGGCAACACGCGACCCTCCGAGACGACCCCGTGAAGCAGAAGAACTCCAAGGGGAGGCTCACCTTCGCCACCTCCGGCAGGAACAGCCGCACGACGCAGATCTTCATCAATTTCGGAGACAACCACTTCCTGGAGCTCCGTGGGACGCATGTTTTACCAGCGCAAGATCTCCGAGCGCATTCCACTATTTACAAAGTGCCTACTCGCAAACGTTTCAGGAAACAGCGCCGATTCGCCTCGATATGATGGATCAGAAATCCCCCGCGGCGGATCCAGACCATTTGCGAGTAGTTACTTTGCGAATAGTGGAGCGCGCTTCTCTACAAGAAATCTCAGTGGCAGAGGAGGGGGGAAACGACGGCCGCAGGGATGGCACGACCGTTGGGCGCGGAGAGGGCGGGGGAGGAAAGGGAAGGGGGGTGGGACGCGCGCGCCCACGCGGGCACGATTTCCGTGGAAGGCAACATGTGCGCCACTACCTTGCCTGCCCAGGGCCATCCTTCGAGGGAGGACAAGAAGGCATAAACATAAGCTCTCGTAGCCGCGGATTTCTCGGATTGGCGCTGGGCCACCATGGCGGCGTTTGCGGCGCCGCCCCTAGCGCGCTCTGCGCGCCAGGGGGGGGCCCAGCGTTGATCCAAGAAATCCATGTTCACGCAAGCTTGTTCTTTTCACCCTAGGCCCTACTACGGTGAATAGCCCCTCCGGGCATCCTAGGCCCTACCGCGAAAAACCCCTCAGGGCCTGCGTACTACATAAAGAAATGGATATACCTTGATCGCTGACGCGCTGGCCAGGCTAGGTCCAGAGCGCCCCTGGAGGGCCCCAAGGCCCCAGAGCGCCCGAAAAGGCCCCAAGAGGGCTCCAAGAGGCATTTCAGACGGTCCAAGAGGGCCCTGAGTCGCCGAGCGATCGGTCCACGATGCTCCAGACGGACTCCAAACGGCCCAAGAGGCTCCCAAGACGCACAGAGAGGCCTCCAAGAGCCTTTCCCAGAGAGCTCTAGGAGTCAAACATCATCTCATTCCTTTGGGAAAACATTTACTTCTATCACATCCGATTTTTTGGTTTTCATGGCTTCCAAGACGGCCCAAGAGGCCTCCTAGATTACCCCCAGAGGGTAGCGCCCAAAACGGCCGAAGAGGGCCCTCAGAGGGGTCCAAGCGGGGGGAATTCAAATTGAGATTTCGAGCCCTCCGCGCCACAGAAGCCTCGGAGACCGCCAGCAAGCCCCCTGGAGGCCCAAAAGAGGTCCAAAAGAGGCTCCGAAAGGCCCCCCGAAAGCGGCCCCGAAAACCTTCAACAAGGCCACCGAAAGGTCCCACGAGGCCTCCTGACAGGCCCCAGTAGCTCTGAACTCGAAACTCACAAACGAAAGCGCGCAATTGCTGTCCCAACCTAATCATCTACCGAACAGAGTAACACATTAGTAAGTACGGCGATGGCCAGAAAGTCGACGTGTGTATGTATATATATATATATATGGAATGTGGTTGTATGTACATATATACACATACATACATACCTGCATACATACGTTCATACATACATGCATACACACATACAGGCACACTAGCGTATTCATCATATGTTATGGTACGTTATGATTTAGTACACACATCATGTGACATATAATATAGTAAGATCAGATGATATGACTGAGTATGCTATGATATGGTAATGCATGGCTCGATGCAACATAATACGTACTATCACAGTGTGCGAGGGCACGCTCTAATACAAGACGACATCATGTAGCAACATCTAATGTTATATGATAGGATACATTGTGTTTCGCTTCTTTGTTTCAGTCACTGCGCACCTCCATCGGTCGCGCTCTCGGGCCTTCCGGCTTGGGCCGATACGAGCTCAGGGTTTGTCGTATCGATTATTGTGTTGTTCTCCTCCTCTCTCGCCTTTTCTGTTTTTCACTTGCCCCTCTGTTCTCCTCTTCTCCTTTTAAATCTGGGCGTTCCGGCCTATTCTCGAGTTGAGATCCGATCTGGCTCGTATGTCTTGCTGGCGTCGACGCTGTAGGGTAATCCGCAGCACCCGCAATGCTCTAGTTCTTCCCTGCCGCTTCGTTCACCCGAGTTTGTTCTCCGCCGTTTGGCAATCGACCTCACGGGAAGACAGGGCACGACATTAACCCGGCCGGCCAATCGAGCACGATCGTTCTTTGTTGTGGACAGGTATCGCCCCCATGAAGGGGAAGCGGATTTGCCTTGGCGGAGGGCACAACAAAACATAATAGAGCACATTCGATTATACTATACGACGATATGGCTTAAGTTCTTTAGATGTAATGTCATATAAGCCAGCGCGCTTAACTTTATCATGTTTCGTATGGTTATGTTATATATATATATATATATACACATATGGTAACACACAAAAGGCCACATGGTATACGGAAGCGAGTTATACCATCATACAACCTAGTAAAACCTAGTGAACAACAGCCGCATCTAACATAACATAAGGTAATCGCATACCATGTAGTGTGCTCTCATCTGTTTCAGCTTAATGGTATGCAATGGCATGTGATAGCATACAAACATATGGAGTCTACTCGGATAGAATATAATGTGGCACCATATATAACAGTGCAATGTAGCGCTCTGGAATGTAATATTATCTGATATAGTACGGCCGAATAGAATGCGGTTCACATATGTAGTTGTCTTCGGCCCATCCCGTCACCGTTGCTGAGTGGTGGGTTATGGGGCCTCTGGGATGCTCGTTTGGATATCGTGGGAAGCCGCTCGGATGCCCCTTGGAGGCATTTGCGATGCCTCTCGGGGGCCGTTTGGGGATCGCCTGGGGCTTCATTTTGGGCCTCTTGGTATGGGGGTTGTCGGGTCAGGGAAGTCGCCATTCGGAGCGGTTTTGGAAGTTTCGCACGATCGCTGAAACATGTGGCTGCGTATTGTTTCGAAGTCCCCCATATTGAATTTGCCTCGCTCTCGATGTCTGAGCCCATGCTGCGCTGGATGCATGCGCGATGCGTCCTCGATGCGCAGCGCGATGGCATCGAACCGAGCGGCCTCGCAACTTGTGACCTCGGCGACATTGGCTTCTTTTTTTCCGCCCAATCCTGCATCCCCCCTTCCCCCCGCCCCCCCCCCTCCCCGCCGCCCCCCCCCCCCGCCCCGCCCCGAGCCCCGCGCCCCGCGCGCTCCGCTTCTTTCAACTCAAACTCGCCCGAGGACCTCGCGCTCCATGCGCCCGCCCACCTCCGCTGCGACCCCTCGCCCCCCTCCTCAGCATCGCCGCCTTGGGGGCCCCATCCAGGGGGCCCCATCCCCCTAGCCATCGCCCTCCGCGCCCCCATCCTCGCCAAATCTTCGGAAAAGGGCCGATGGAACACGGGGGGCAGGACGGGGCAGAGCGGAGGGGGGGGAGAGAGAAAGGAGGGGCACTCCTATCCTGAGCTGCCCGCCCCTTCACCGCCGCCCTGTTCAACAGTGTTCTGTTGCGCTGCTGCGCGCGCGGGCTAGCGAGCCCGCCTGCCATCGCCTCGCTGCGACCCCCTGCCCAGGCCCCCCCGCCAGCAGTCTGCGGGGCCGGTGCGGGGGGGCAAGGCGGCGGCGGGGGCGCCCTCGCCCAGGCGCCCAGGGAGGAACTAATTTTGTCGGTTTGTCGTTACAACACGAGGCGGGGAACTGATTCTCAAACGACAAGCTGTTTTTGCGGCGCCGGCCGTGTTTGGAACGCCAGCGCCCCCGAATCGAAGCATGCCGCGCCCGCCTAGGCAAACTGGCCCGCCCTGGCGGCCCTCGCCGCGGCTCGCGGCAGCTGGTGGCGCGAACCCAACTCGAAGGCGCACTCGCGCTGCTTCTTCGTCGCCTCGCCGCTCGTGTCGGCGCGCGACAGCTTATTGTCTTCGCCGGTCGGCTTCGGTAGCGCGTGCCCCGCACCCGCGACAGTCGCTGCCTCGAGCGCGCGGTCGGCCTCGCCGAACGACGCGCGCCGCTTGAGAATGCCCGCCGCCGTCTGGAGCTTTTCTCTCTCCCGCGCAGGGCGGGGGTCACGCGGGCGGGCAGGGGGGGGGGCGGCGCCGTCGTCGCCCCGATCGCCGCGCCGCCGCGCCCCCCCCCCTCCCCCCCGCGCCCGATCGCCGCCCCCGACGCCCCCGACCTCCCGTCGCCGCCCCCGTCGCCGTCGCCCCCGCGCCCCACCGCGCCCGCCAGGGCTTCGAGAGGAGGTCGGGCGCTGGATGGTTGACTGCAGGGTCGGTCTGAGTTGGCCACGCTTCTGGAACGCGCGAATGGCATCGGGTCGGGCGCCTCGCCCTTTCGCTGGGAAGGCCGCCATGGCGCGCGCCGGCTAGCGGGCGCGCTCCAGGCCCCCCGCCCCCTCCCGACGAAACAATGCGACGCCTCGCCCGAAGCTGCGCGCGCCCCGCGGGCGCGACCAGCGAAGCCGCGCCCACCGGCACGCTCGACCCCATCCCCGCAAGATAACCTTGCCTCGCGCGAGGGGGCATAGGGCGAATGCGCGAGATAAGGGGGATGGGGAAAAGCGCGGGGAAGCGGGGGCAGAAATTCGACCCGCCCGCGGGGGGGGGCGACGGCGACGGTCGCGAGTCGGAGGATTGAGCGGGGCGACGACCACGCGACCGGGCTCGCTAACCTTTCCTCTCCCCCCCATCATCAATCCGCCGTCCTACGAGTCGTTCCCCCTATCAGCATCCAACCCTTGCCATCCCAAAACGCCTCGCCCCCCCCCGCGCCCCCCCCCCCCCCCCCCCCCCCCCCCCCCCCAATTCCTCCATGCGCCCTCCCCCGACCCCCCATCCCATCCACGTCTCCCAGGTCGCTCTCCCCCTCGGGGCGCGCTGCAACCCTGGCGCACCCCCGCCATCCTGGCCGCGCAGGCATCCCCATCGAACTTGAAGAGCGCCTCGTTCGCCAGCCTTATGCAATCGCTTTTGAACGTCGCGTCGGCCAGCGCGCCCTGCCGCCGCGACTCGCAGTTCGCCCCGCCGAGGGCCGTGGGCCTTCAGGGGCGCCTCCGCCCAGGTGGAGATCGAGTCCGAGGCGGCCCCGCGCGCCGTTGAGACGCGGTCGACGGCGGCCCTCCCCTTGCCGAGCACCGTCGCGCAGCGGCCGATTTTGCCCTGCGCCATGACCAACTCCTCGACGATGCTGATTGCGGCCGCGGCGCCGCGCAGCGCCTCTGCTAGCGCCGCGTTGCCCGCGCTGCCAGCGCTCGACGGGGCTCGCCCCCGAGTCCTCCCATATCTAGAACGGTTGCCGAGGGGCTCCGCGCTGCTGCGCAGCCGCCCAGCCTCCAGCGCCCCCTTCGGCGGTGCATCGGTCGCCTTCTGCGCGCTCGCGATGGCCGCCCATCGCGCTTCAATGCAGCCCGTCCCAGTCACCGATGCCGTAGTCCGCCGTCGCCTCGAACGCAGGCGCCCCCCGCGAGCTCGAACTTCTCCGCCGTGCCTGGGCCGAGGGCGAGGTCGCTGACAGTCGATGTTTCCTCCAACTTCAGGTTGCAGTTCCCCGCCGTTGCCCGCGCGACGGGGTTCGCGACCGCGCGGCCGGCCGCGTCTGCGCCGAGGGCGGCGGCGGGCCCGCGCGTTGCCTTCAACGAGCCCGACGCTTCCACGTGCATGTTCGCGCGAATGCGGGCGCGCAGGTCTTTCTGCGCGGAGGCGACGGCCGCGACGCTCGTCGGGGGGAGCGCGGTGGCGCGTGGGGGGGGGGGGGGGGCGCTCCGGATGTCGCTCGGGATCTTGGCGCCGACGCCCGGGCTCTCTAAGGTCGCGCCGTTGTCCGCCAACAATTCGCCCGCCCACTGTTTGCCATCGGCATCGGTGGCGTCTTGCGCGTCGCGGTCCAGGAAGCGAGCGGCCAAGAAATCCACCGCTTCATGGGGGCCCCCAGCCCTCCCCTCGAAAGTGCCCGAGCCTGCGCATGGACCCATTTCCTCTCTCTGGAAGCCGTCGTTTTGATATCTGCCCACGCCTTGGCCACCTCGGGAGTCTGGAAGACGAAGTCCCTCGGGGCCCTCGCCAGATCGCGTTTCTCGCCGCTGTCGTCGAACATGGGCTCCGCGGCCGCGCGGCTCGCCCGCCCCTTCGCCTCGGGCGCGTCGCTCGGACGCATGGCGACCCCCGCGCGCTCGACGAGGTCCACGAGGGCATCGGCGCAGCACCCGCGATCGCGGAACTCCTCCAGCTCGCGCAGCGCGCGCCTGAGGGCGCGGCCAGACGCGGCCTTCGCGGTCTCCATCGACGCGCCCGCGGGGTTCTAGTGGGCGAAGGCCTTCGTCAAGGCCGATATCAGCAATGCATTGGAGAGGATCTCGCTGAACAACATGGCCGTCTCCTTCGGCGAGCCGTCCGCGCGAGCGAGTTCGGGGAGCTTGAGGTTGCGACCCATTGCTGGGGTGGCCAGGCGGCAGAAGGCAACGCAGTTGACGATGATGGTCTCGCTGTTGGGTTCCTCCTTGGTAGCCGCCACCTGCCGATGGGCGCGCCGCTTCGTCAGTTCAAAAACTGTATCCGACGGGAACGGTTTGTCCCTCAGAGCCTTGGCGACGATGCCGATCGAAGCGTTGGACGTAGCATCTTCCAGTGCGTCGAGGTTCTCCATGGCTGATGCCAGCGCGCGGGCGTTCTCGCGCACGTTGAGGCGCTCGGTCAGCTCGTCGATGTCGTCCACCACCGGTTTCGCCTCCATGCGCCCCTTGCACTTCGTCGCCTGCGACTCCTCCCTGCCGAGACAAGGTGTGTCTTTGCCTGGATCGTCTCGAAAATTCACAGCCAGCGGGCAGTGTTCTTGCAGAGCATCTTGGGGTTCTCGCCGCCGGCTTCGCCGGGAAGCCTTGGCCCCGCGCCGTGCTCGCAGGCCCGCGCGCCCGCTCGCGGTGAGGTTGCTGCGCTTGCTGGCGGGGTTCTTCTTGGCGCCCGAGCCAGGGCCCTGCGGGGCAGCGGGGCGGAGAGGGAGTTGCGGAGATCATGGGGTTGGGGGAGGGGGTAGCGGAGAGAGGGATGGGGTTCGGCGGAGGAGGAAGGAGGGGAGAGTGGGGGAGAGACAGGGCAGGAGGAGGAGGGACGAGGCAGGGCGAGAATGGCGGGGTGAGAAGGTGGAGGGATGAGGGGTGGAAGGGCGAGTAGCGGAGGAATGAAGCCGAGGAATGGCGAGGAGGAGGAGGAGGGGGAGGAGGAGAAGGAGGGATGAGGATGAGGACCCGGACCGGGCGACAGTGTGCGATGAGTAGGAGGGGTGAGGATGTGGGAAGAGGAGGAGAGAGGGAGCAGGGGGAGGAGGAGGAGGGAGTGAGTCGGTATGATTGCGACCCCCGAGTCATGCATTACGATGGCCGTCTTCACCTCGGCTGTCGTCGTCGCCTCCGCCCTCGGCGGCGTCCATTTGCTCGGCGGATGCCGAAGATGGCAGCGGCGGCCTCGCTGCCCGCCGATCCTTCTCCCTCGAGCCCGCCTTTTCCCGCCCTGCAGCTACTGCGTGCCAGCTCCCGACAACATGCGACTCCAGTGGGGTCCTTGGCGTGCGCCGCCTTAATGGCCGCATCGACCTGCTCCGTTAAGATTGCCTTGTCACCTTCCAGGAACCTATCGTCGAGTGGGACTGGCGCGGCGACGGAGGCAATGGCGGGCGTCGAGGGGAAAGCTAGGCGCAAGGGCGAGGACTGGGGCGAGGGCGAGGCAAAGGACGAGGACGAAACCCTTCCCAACCTCAAGAATCTGGTCATGGTGATGGCGAAACGTACTCTCCAGTTCGTGGGCGAGAGACACAACCACGCTCGCATCGACAACCTCGCGATCCAGTCGGCGCCGGAGGGCCATTGCTCAAAGTTGATGCGCAAGCAGGAGATGACTACGCAAAGGAGGGAAAAGTCGCACGGGGCAAAGCAGAGGAAGAGGAAAACCATTTTCGTGGGCACCCGCGCGACAAAAACAATTGATGTCCTTGGCAGAGATGTTCCGGTTCGTCCCTTTTCAGTTTCTTCAACTACCTCAGCATGCCGAATTGTTGGGCGTTGCTGGCGCAGTGTTTCAAACAACCACCAACGTGTGCGCCTTCGGTGGGCGGTCAAAAATTGACTCAACATTTGTTGTCTTCGTGCCATCCGGGTGGAAGTCGAGATTGAGGGCGTTGCAATGGACCAGTGGATCGTCATGTTCCCGAGGGAGACAGTAACGAATGACCTGCGTATCTGGATTCGCGATCGTACGCTTGAGAAAATTGGCATTTCCATCGTAGCTGATTTCGCTCCAAGGACGGCCGCTGCTAAGGAAGTGGCGTCGCTTGCGTTCAAGCCGAAGAACTTTGAAAGGCGATCCTCCTTGAAAGAAGACCAAGAAAGCTACGTGAGCAAATCCATCCATGATGTGGAGTTGCGAGCGGTCGGTGCAGTGCGCAGAGGTGCGGTGCTGGTCGCTTGCAGCATTGGGTGGCCAGCGCTGCGAGCGACGCCTCGTCGCGCTCGCAATGTTGCGGGATGATTCGAACTAATTAGAGACGCCTCGCTTGAAGCCTGAAGAGGGCTGAGCGTTGCCAGTATATATGTATATGTATATAATATCTATATGTATAGGTACACGTATAAGTTTATATATATATATATATGCATAGGTATGTGTATATATATGTATATATATGTGGGTACGATAAGCATATGCACAAGTAAATGTGTAGACGTCTACTACGATGTGTTTCTGTGCGCACGCATGAGTAAGTATACGTGGTAGGTGTGTGTATGTCTACATGCATTTACACACGTGTATGTGTTATGCATGCATAAGCACATACGCGCAGGCTAAGGCCCAGGGGGCCCTTGGCCTGGCACGGTGGTGGCGCATGCCCGCAAGTCTGGCGATACGACTATTTCAGCACGCGGCGCCAGGACGTCTGGACCCCATCCCCCGGGCTCCCCTGGGCTTATCAGCTTGCGCCCCGGATCCGCTTTTGATGGGCCTGCGGCCCGCAAGAGGCCCCCAGAGGCAGAAATGATGATTTGGGCGGTCCGCGATGGGGCCAGGGGGTCGAGAGTTGCAGGAAGGCGGCCCCAAGGGGGCCCCTCTGGGACCCCGAGGGTGCCCGAACCGCGAACCTTTTTTTCACCCACTGTTTAAGTCCCCCCCTACGCAACGCCCGAAAAACGCCGCGACTGAAGAAGTCATGTCGTCGGAAACCTGGGCGTCGCGCAGGACAGTCAGGGGTTCTCCCCCTTCGCAGAGGTTGGGGAGAAAGAAATTGATGACCATGACCGACGCTGAAAGCGGAAATGTCGGAGCCGATCTTGCTCATCGCCCGTCTTGTGCAGCGTCAGTTCGTGGATCATCCTCGCGAATCGGCGACGACAAAGGTTGGTCACGACCAAGATCGGCGTCGACAAGATCCCGCGAAGTCTTGGTCGTGGTCGTCGTTTTCTTCCCCTCGCAAAGGTCGTGGAGCCTGGCATGGGCGTGGTGAAGTCGCTGTACTCTGGCTACGGCGAGGGGGCCCCCAGCGGCAGAGGCCCCAACCAGGGTAGGATACAGGACCAGGGCAACGCGTACCTGGAGCTCCGGGGGGCGACGCAGGCGGCGACGGCGGCGATGGCGGCGACGGCAAGGGGGGTGACGGCCGCAACGGCAGCGACGGCAGACGGCGCCGGCGGCGGCGACGAGGGCGAAGACAAAGGTGACGACGACGACGAAGAGGATCGAACACGTTGTGTTTGTGGTTGGTTCTGTATCCTTGGCCTGCAGCGGGCAATCCCGGGCCCCAGGGCCTTCTTCGAGAAAGGCTCGTAACGAGAACGCGTTCCTTGTAGGGATCTGGGAGAGTGTCGACGGGTCCGGCGTTCCGGGGCCAAACAATAGCAATGGAAAGACTCGGCCAAGCGAAATTCGGCCAGCCAAATTCGGCCAAGCCGACGTCGGGCAATCTCAACCCGGCCCAGGGCCCAGTTTCGCATGGCCGAGTTCAGCGCGGGCTGAGTTTCTTCGGCCGAGTTTCTCTGGCTGAGTTTCTTCCGGCCAAGTTTCTCCAGTCCGAGTTCTTCGGGCCGAGTCCAGCGTGAACTCCCGCTCCGAGAGGTCCAGCGCTCCGAGGTTCAGAAATTACCCCAGCAGAGCAGTCTGACAACAGCAGAGGTGATAAAGGCAGGTCGAGGAGCAGGAGATCGGCCATAGGGGACAGAAGTGAGAGCACGGACATGTGCGCCTCAGTGCATTTCCCGACCAGCCCGTGGTGCTGGGTCATGGTTTTGAAGACAGCGCACTCCTTTCTCCTCCCGCTGCCCCCCCCTCCTCTCATTCCTGCCTCTGCCCTACGCATGCACATGTCGGCACACCACTTATTAAACGCTTCGTGGCCTCATAGGGAGCTCCACCGAAGCCCCCACGAGTGGGGTGGGTCGCGTGCGGTTCCAAACTCGGTTCGGCACACCTCCCTCATACATTCCGTGGCCCCACAGGGAGCTCCCCCGAATCCCTCAGGCGGGCGGGGGTGGGAGGGCGCGCATGTGGTTCGTGCCCATTTTGGCACACCCTTCATACATTTTGTGGGGCCACAGGGGGCGCCACCAAAGCCCACAGGATGGGGTCGGTCGCATGTGGTTCTTATCAATTTTGACACGTTCGTGGCCCCACAGGGAGCACCGCCGAAGCTCCAGGAGGAAGGTTTCGCATGCGCTTCTCCCCAATTTTCGGCACACCCCTTGGACGTGTCGTGGCCCCACAGGGAGTTCAACCGAAGCCCCCCGGAGCGGGATTTCGGATGCGGTTCCCAACTCTGTTCGGCACACCTCCCACACGTTTCGTGGCCCCACACGGAGTTCCACCGAAGCCCTCAGGGGGGGAAACCGCAGATGAAGTGAGATCCATGGGGAGCTCCAGTGAAGGCGTTATTCGCAAGTGCGGTACTCACAACTGCATGTGGTTGGGTCCTTCGCTGGAGCAGTTTTTGCAAGGGATCGTGACCGTCCAGACCGAGCATGCACCCGGCGTGGAGGCGAGAGCACGATCCCTCAAGAATTGATTAAGAAGTCTCAGGCGAAACGTTTGCCGGACTAGCTGCTGGACTGGGCGATCTGAGGCTCCCCGTTCCCCCTAGTGAAATGTCATCCGTTGTTTTATCTACTAGAGGAATTGCCCAGCGAAGCGATATCAGGGAATACGGAGTCGTCGGAGGTCTGGGTGACCAGGAGGGCGACTACAACGATTTTGGTCCCAGGATGAGCCGGGCCAGGATCGCTGCAAGTGTACAGGCGGCTCCCTCTTAGGAGCAGAAGTTCCCCCTGCTCTCCTACATCGAGTTCGCAGAGCAGGTCGGCGAGCTGCCAGCAGGGGCGATGAAGGCCCTCGAGTCCGCGGTCGACGACCCAGCAGTGGCCGGGCCAGGCGTTATCTAGAAGGACAAAACCAGGGGTGTCGCAATGGGGACGGGAAGAGTGGTGACGAAGACGGTCCGAAGTTTCCGTCCTTTTCTAAATTCGTTGTCGGTGTCGCCGCGGACGTTGTCCATTTGATACATAAAAAGGGGCGGTCGTCGGCGTTTTCTTGGCAACTCTCGCAATTGGGCATCCTATCCATTTTTCCGTGCCCACTTCGGGATCGCCAGTAATGATTTAGATGTCTGTCTATGGCCCACCGCAGTGCTTGAGTGTGGCCTCGTCGGAGCCTCTTGGGGTCTCGTGCCTCCAAGGGGCCTCTTATAGATCTCTTGGGGAGTCCTGGGGATGATGGGGGGTCTGTCGGGCCTGATGGCGGCCGTGGCAGTTTCATCTCGAATGCGCTTCCCAGGCGATGCTACTGAGCGGTGTAGGCGAGGGCCGCCCGAGCTCGTACCTGATCAGTCACTAGCTCGTGCAGCCGAGCTCACTGGAAGAACACATCACCATCATCAGCAGCAGCAGCACCATCATGAGCATCAGCAGCATCCGCATTACTATCGTCAACTCGTCAACATCATCACCACCATCGTCCTTATCATCATTCTCCTCCTCGTCATCATCATCTTCACCACCGTCATCATCACCATCTCAATCATCATCACCATCATCATAAGCAGCATCAGCATGATCATCATCACCGCAACCACCATCATCATTATCATCATCATCATCATCCGCCATCATTCGCGATCATCCGTCATCCGCATCACCATCATTCTCACCATCATCATCAACATTCTCATCATCATCATCACCATCACTCACCATCACCACCGCCATCGGCATCGCCATCAACATCATCACCATCAGCAGCATCAGCATGATCATCAAAACCGCAACCACCATTATCATCAGAATCATCATCACCCGCGGTCATCCGTCATCAACATCACCATCATCATCACCATCAACAGTCTGATCATCGTCATCACTAACCATCACCACCTCAATCGTCATCACCTTCACCATCATCATCATCATCAGCATCATCATCACTATCAGCATCAGTATCATCACCACCATCACCATCACTATCAACATCAGCATCATCACCACCATCCCCATCACCCTCACCATCACCATTACCAATCATCATCACCATTATTAGCATTGTCATCATCGTCATCATCACCACCACCGCCACCGTCAGCATCGTCATTATCGCGAGGTGCGGTCGATCATCAAAAAAAGTACGGCCGATCATCAACATCATCATCATCATCATCATCATCAGAAGCATCATCTGCATTATCATCGTCATCATCAGCATCATCACCCCGATCACCGTCTTCATCAGCACCCCCCATCATCATCATTTTCACCATCATCACCACCGCCATCATCATCATGATGACCATCATCATCATCAGCATCATCATTATCACCATCACCATCACTACCACCATTACCAATCATCATCACCACCAGCATCATCATCATCGTCATCATCACCACCACAGTCATCATCAGCATCACCATCACCATCAGTTCATCATCATTATCATCATCATCATCATCATTTTCAGCATCATCGTTATCATCATCAGTACCATCACCGCCATCACGGTCATCATCACCACCATCATCATGAGCATCATCACCATTTCATCATTATCGTCATCATCATTCGCATCAGCATCGTCATCATCAGTATCATCACCACCAGCACCGTCATCATCATCATCATCATCATCATCAACAGCATCATCATCGTCATAATCATCATCATAATCATTTGCATCATCATCGTCAGCATCAGTATCATCACCACCATCACCGTCATCATCACGACAATCAAATCATCATCACCACCACCACCACCACCACCACCATCATCATCATCATCATCATCATCATCATCATCATCATCATCATCATCATCATCATTGGGGCGTCTGGGGTGCTCTTGGGGCCCTTTTGCGGCCTGGCGGTGTCGGGGGCCATCTCGGGGGCTAGGGCTCAAAGTTTCGAGTCGCACCCCCCTTCTTACGGACCATCTCGGGTCGTCTTGGCGCCTCGGTTAGCGTCTTTGAGGCCCTGTCAGTGGCTTCTGGACCGTCTAGGACGCTCTTGGAAACCGAGAAGCCGACAATGTTGAAATCATGCAGATTATGAGGCCTTTCACTGCTGCTCCTGACCTCTTGTTCGAATGCATCTTCTGGAAGCCTGAGTTCAGAATCTGTACTGGTACATCCCTGGTCGAAGCTGGCCGAATCTCGTTTAATACGCCTTACACTGGGAGCGCGTACCAAGAAACCGGATGCTTTTCGTCAGGGCGTCTTGGGCGTCAAGAAATGTTCGCGTACAGGACGCCTTCTGTTTCTTCCCTAATGCACCTCGCCGCGGAAGCAATGCCCCGCCACCGAAGAAACCCCGTTGCGCCGAAGGTTCTTTGAATTTCTTGCATCCGCGCGGATTCGAAGGACCAACAGCGAAATTGCTAGAATGCCCCATCCCCGGAGAAACCCCTTTGCGCCGAAGGTACCTTGGATTTCTTGCATTCGTGCGGATTCGGAGGTCCAACTGCGTAATTTAGAGAATGCACCGCCACCGACGAAGCCCCAGTGCGCCGAAAGTGCCCTGAATTTCTTGCGTCCGCGCGAAGCGGTGAGCCATGCACTTGTGCGTCAGCAACGACATGAGAAGATGCATTGTGTCCCCGCGGCGCTAATTAGGGTTTCATTTGTTTTCCCAATCGCCATGGGGTTCTTCCACAGCGTTGCTGGCGCTTTCTCTTAGCGCGGCCCGCGAAGAAACGACTCGGGTCAGGGCCCCTGGGTTTCTCAGCGTGGAGCTCCTGGCCAAGAAACCCATGGCAAGAAACTGCGTTGATTTTCAGGGTCGGGCTTCTTGCGACGGTTCCTGTGACCGTGCCCCGTTTGAAATCCCGCTTCATCCGACAAAATCCCGCTCAATATGGTTTGATTTCGAGCTCAATCCGGTTTGATCCCGCGAAATGGCCCCTGAAGCTAGCTAAGTGGCTTTCAGTCGCTTTGCCGAACAAATCTCCCGGGAGTTGCCTCTGGCCCGGCCCCCAGTAGCCCCCCCATGTGGCCTCCCACGTCCCTCTCGCGAAGGCGAGTGCGAGGTTGTTCCTGCGACGTGGAGGCGCCACCGGAGCTCTCGATGCTCGCGCCGAGACCCCGTGGGCCACGTTGCGCGCGCCGTTGAACGTTGAAGTCGGTGGGCGGGGAGACCATTCTTTAGTTGTCTCCTGGCGATAACGGGGGCGTGACTGGGGGGGGGGAGGGGAGGGGGCCAGTCACGTCACGATTCGCGTTGGCGCCGTCTAGTACCAGACGGCGCCGGCGCGAATTGTGACGTGAGCAAGGGGGGGAGGGCTTGGGGCTGGTCATGGGCGTCATCGCGAAACATCGAAAATGGGCTCGAGGGGGATTGGAACATACTTGCGTTTGATTTCGGGGTGGGGTGTAGGCGGCCTTAGGTCGACCCTGAGGTCCCTGAGGTCGACCTTAGGCCACGTTGGAAGCTTGGTCTCCAAACCGCTCTCCGTGGGCCTCTGGAAATGTCACGCGGCGCAGCCCAGGAGCGCACGAGAGATCCTAGGGCCAGCAGTTGTTTGAAGGCCGAAGTGTTGTTGCAAGACCCAGTTGGCGACATTTTTCGCCATGAGCTCACTGAAGGCAACATGCGTGGTGCCCTGAGTGGGGGAACACAAGTTCCTTCCAAAGTTCGCGCCTTCAGACACATGACTGAGTCCAGGTTCCTGAGGGCTGCTTAGAAGGAGGAGAATGGAGGAGGGGCTGGACGAGGCGCAGGAGGAAGGTGGTCAGGAAGAGGGCGAGGAGGACGGAGGAGGAGGAGGAGAGGAGGGCGGAGTAGAAAGAGGAGGAGGAAGGACGGAGGGAGAAGAGGAGGGTGACTAAAAATTCCCCCGACACCCAACACAGAGAACACGGAGGGACCTGAGGGCACTCCGCCGAGTGCCTCGCGGCGCGGTGCCAGGCTCTTGCGGGCCCGGGGCCATCCTGGGCCCTCGGATGTCGGGCGGACGGCTACGGGGGGGCAATAAACGCGGGGGGATCGAGGGTTGCAGGAACGCCGCTCTAGACTCAGGAGGGAAAGAAACACACAGACACAATTAATCCTCCATTCCACAGAAAATATAGGAAAATATGGGAAGTGGTGGGGAAGAGAAAAGCCGAGAAAATATGAGGAAAATATGGGGAATCCTTTTATTTGTGTGTATGTATTTGTGTGTCCCAGGGCCCCTTCATAGACGACTCCCGAACTGCCAGCGCGGCACGCCTTGTCACCCCACCTTTCTTCCCCCCCCGTTGGCGACCGCCCGAGGATTGCGCATTGCACCCTCCTAGCCTGTGCGAGGAGGGCGTGCATGTATGATATATTTTGCTCGTGCCAGGGCCCAAGACGGCCTCGGCCAGGCACGGTGATGGCGCATGCCGATGCGTCCGACGATGCGCTTTTTGTTGCATCCGCGGCCCGAGGCGTTTCGTCACCTGTCCCGGGGGCGGTTCCTCGTCCAAGATCCGTGCTTGAGGGCCCCGGGGCCGGAGAGTGGCCTTCGGAGGACGGAGCTGAGGACCCACGCCGGGATTGAAAGGACACTCTTGCGGCGGAGGCCCCGAGCAGCTTTACACAGTCCGCGATGGGGGGCAACGACGGGCCGCCGAATTCAGAGGCCGGGCATCCCTCAAATGGTGTTAGAATCGGGGCTCGAGGGACGGGGATCAATGCGAACGGGGGTGAGACAGCCAGAGAGCCGGATCTTGCAGGATCCTGCAGGGCCAGGGGTGGGCTTGCGTGCAGGATCCTGCAGGATCTTGCAGGACCCCGCAAGATTCTGCCAGGCCTAACTGGCCCGGGTTTGAATTGACCTGGGTCAGTAGGTCCCCCATAGAAGAATTGTGCCGAATACATTGACAATTCGAGAATGTCAGTGTAGAAGCGGTCCGAATGCGTATGTACGCCGCCTGCGTTGCTAAACCGCGCTTGGCGCGTCGCGGCGTGAGCGGGAGAGTTGTCCTTCTCCAGGCTCGCGGCGCGAGGGCGCCAAGATAGGGGCGCGAAGTGCGAAGTACATGCAGCGAGTTTATGCTAGCCAGACCTCCGTGTGTCTTCATTTGTTGAATTCGGGCTCTTGGGACCTCCCGACAGCCTCTTGGTGATTGGCTCTTCGCCTCAGATTTGCTGACATGGCCTCGGAGCCCGAAAGCGGCCTCCAGACAACACTCCGCATTGAGAGGTTCCGCAAGGTGTCGGGATTCCCAGCTCTTCATCCCGAACTGTTCTTTGGTGGTCCTAGGGCTCATGGAGGGCCCTGGTGGGGGGGGCCCGAAAGTTGCAAAACAATTCGAGGCCCTGCTTCCTTCATGCCGCACGCGCGGCGCCGCTGTGTGCAGTTCTGCCGATGCCCCCGGCGATGCTCTTTGTTCACGCGGCTTCCGAGTGCCGGGCCCCTGCCCCGGGGGGGGGGGTACCTCTGCGCCCCCGATGGAGTTTTGATGGCCCCGGGGCCCGAGAGCGGCACCCGGAGGCCGAAGTGAGCAAAGCGTCGAGGCCTACCAGATGCGGTCAGATGCTGGAGGGGAAAACAGACACACGGACACAAGTCATCGTCGATCCCCAAGAAAATATGGGAAAGCATGGGAATTGGGCGGGAAGGCGAAAACCCAGACAGTATGGGAAAATATGGGGAATCCTTTTAGTCTGTGTGTATTTATTTGTGTGTCCATGGGCCCCTTGATCAGAGTAGTTAGATGGGGGCGGCGGATCGCGCCGCATTGCTGGGGCGATGCGGCTCGTTGTGGAGCCGGGTCGCCGATGCATCGCCGACGTCTCCAAGGCATCGACGATGTGTCGGCGATGCGTCGGCGATGCGGCGCCATCGCCCGACCCTGACGACTCGGACAGAACTTGGGAGGCCTCCACAGACGCCGCGGTGGACCGAGACAACCGTGTCGGATGCCTGGGTTTTGCCTTCTGCCGTCGCGATGGCGGTGCTGCTGGCGCTCGCCTGCGCCGGGTGCGTCGTGCGGCAGTGCCTCCGGCCGGACCCCAAGGGCGCCGCGGGCCGGGCAGCACAGGCCGCCGTGGAGCAGAGGGGTCCTCAGGGGCAGCCGGTCACGCAGCCGGTCATGCAGCCAAGACGTTGACATGCGGAACAGCTTGGGTTCGGAAGGGGCTCGAGGTTCCCTAGGTCCTTCCATGGCTGTTCCTCTGGTGCAAGAGCCAAGAGGGGGCTTCGTTCCCTACGTAGCGTTCCTTATTTCAGCCGGCCGACTGTGGTCAGGCTTTCTTCCACGGCGAGTCTATCATCCACCAGACCTCCATCGATGTTGTGACAAATCAGCTCGAATAGTTCCGATATGTTTCCAGGCCGCCTCTGGGGGCCCTCGCCGGGCCCCCGGTCTGTGAAAAACGACTCAGGTTCCTTCTCTTCGACAGCCCTCCCTTTGCTATCCCTTCCTCCCTTTGCTATCCCTCCCAGCAGCCGTCCATGGGCGCGGGCTTCCGCACGCCAGACCTCGCCTCACCTCACCTCACCTAACCTCACCCGTGTCTTCGTTGACCCCGAGCCAGGAATGCTTGCATGTCGGAAGGCTTGCATCGAGCTGAAGCATGTCGGAAGGCTTGCAGAGCGTTCCGCGACGCTCTCCAGCGGCCGCGGCACCCGATGTATCCTCGAGACCTGTTGGTTCTCAGATGTCCCCGATCTGTGTTCCCACCCCCAGACATCCTACGAAGACCATGTTTTGTTCCATCCGCGGCCCGAGAGCTCTCCAGACCCACTTCCCCAGGTGCAGGGTTGCGTCTCGAATCTGTTCTTGATTGTCCCAGGGCCCGAAAACTGCCCCCAGGTGCCATTCAGTGAGGAAGCACACCGGGATTGAACACATCAGTCCGCAGGATGTCTGGGCCCAGACACGCGATGTTTCGATTTTACAATACGTGGTCCCCGCAAGTTCCGACCCCTTCCCCAGGGCCAGTTTTTCATCCTGACTAGTTTTTTGCGGTCTCGGGGTCCAGCGAGGCCCCGAGGCCGAGTTTGGTAACAAGCCGCCCGTTCTGTATATCGGCGAGTACTGCCAAACATCGCTCAATGGCGCCCAGTAACACAGACTAGCGTTCAAATAGCGCCCAATAGCGACCACTAGCGCCCGATAGCGCCATGTGAGGGAGAAGCATTCTGCCCGCTCTGCTCGCGCTTGGGCGCGCCATTGGGTGCCATGGGGACGAAAAGCTTCCGCATGTTGTTTTCAAGAACCAGTCCGCAGGAGGATGTCAGGGGTCGTCTTTCAGTACGATCGGCATGGATACGGAAAGAATGGGTACGACGTCCGACAGAGTTTCCAGCTTAATTCGAACAGCTGTCGTTGTCGGTGTCGCCGCGGAAGTTGTCCATTTGAGACAGAAGGCCGCCTGCCCAACAGCGGCCGCTGTCGGTTTGGGACAACAAGTGCTGCTGGGCATCGTACCTTTTTTCCGTCCGCACCCTGGGAATCCAAAGTGATGTGGATTGAGCCACCTTGGCCGCCGAGTGAGCTCCACCGTGGGTCCATTCGACGGCCGAGCTGGCTCAGGCGCCGGATCGGCGCAGCAGGGAGCCCCAGATTCACGGCGGGTCGAGGAGAATGGCGGGTAGAGGAGGAGAAGCGAGGACCGACGCCGCAGGCGGCAGGCGTGTTCACCTGCTCACTCAGAGCTCATTCGAAGACAGCTCGGCGTATGGATGTCGGTGTCCATCTCTTGAGTTCGATGTTATGCCAGCTGCCGTTTCGTGGGCCACTCTGGTCCAGCAGGCCGGGGCGGAGATGGCGCCCATCGGCCGCAAGAGGGCGTCCGTCGACTCAGACTGAGGCGGCCCCGCTGCGCGCCCTGCCTGGGGCGGCCGCGGCCCGCCCGCCCGGGGCCTGCGCAGCGGCCCGCGGGCAGCGCCATGGGGGGGTCACCACCGGGGGGGGGGGGGCACCGCCTCCTGGAAGTCCAGGGTCGCGGAGGAGAGAGGAGCACAGCGCAGCTTAGACAGGTGATCTCGCGCGCTGTGGGGCGCCACGTGGCCGACCGAGAGCTCCCTTGAGGTACGGCGTGGGCGTTCGTTCAGGAATGTGCCCAGGAGGCTGCAGACCCTGGAGGGTTCCTTCTCTGATGAGGGCGGCGCTGATATCCATGGCCAGTCCACGATTGGAGTTCCACCGGCTTCCAGACTCTGGATTCCTCATCCCATGCCTCCGTATCCAGTGCCCCCATCGTGCCAGGAAGCTGGGGTGCACACGTTGGTCACATGTCTTTCCAGCGCTCGGCCCTCGTGCGGCCAGGCGCGATGATCCTCCACGTGCGTATCCAGCGAGTGGCCTACGGGTGTTCCACGTGTGAGTCCAGCCACGCGTGTTTCCAGCTTCCCGAGAGCAAAGGATAGTTCATCTCGCGCGCCGCGAGTTGCTGTCTAGCCTCCTTCTGTAAATCCAGGATCGAGGAGGAGCGAGGATCCCTAATCGAGGAGGTCCCGAAAGTTTCTGTAGGTCTTCGGGTGTCCTTGCGGGTTCTGGTGGTTCCGTTTCTTCCGGGAGGTGGCGCCCCCCCCTCCCCATTCGGCGACCCGATTGGTGTTGCCAGCGTTTGGGTCAAAATCGAGGCGAAGTTTTTGCATGTGTTTCGTCCAGCATCTCCTGCCTCCGAAGGCCACTCTTGCATCCATGGGACTGCCAAAAAGTGGCTCAGACCGAGACGCATGTCCCAGGGAAAGGGTTGAGAGGTCCGGGGCTCGGAGACTCGAAAGTATCCAGTCGTCGGATGGGCGGCCGTCAGAAAATTACTCCAGACGGAAAAAACGATCCTGGGCAAGTTGTCGAGAGGTTCGCTGGCACCCACGAGGTGGGAAGGTCCAAGGGTGTGGACATCGCTCGTGGCCCATCATCTTCTACTTTCGATGCGTTCCCCGGCCCATCCAGGCCCCCCCTCGTCCGCGCACATGCCTCGACCCATGATGCGCTAGCGCCCCCCTCCTGCGTGGCTCCCCTCCTCGGCGCACCCGAGAGGCCCAGGGACTGAGCAAAAGGCCGAGGCGCAGGACGCCTGGGCCTGTGCCGCGCGGCCAGCTCCAGGCAGCTGCCGCGGGCGCCAGCGAGAAGCGGATCCGTCTCTCGCCGTGAGGGAGCGGAGTCCTGCGGGGCACGAGCCCAGAACTCCAGAGATTCGAAGGCATCGAGTCCGGTTCGGGGGGCATCTTCGGCATCCGGAGGCCAGCTTCGGGCCCAGGGACTGTCAAGCAACGACTGGGGACGGAGAGCAGAGGTCCCGGAACTCCATGATATGTCGCCGCGCAGTTTGTTCCGACGCGCGGCACGGCGTCTTGAGGAGGGCACCTTGGCCACCAGGGCAAACTTCGCCTCGGGCGCGGTGGGCTCGCCGTGGGTTTGCCGCGGTACTGGCTGCGTCTCCTTTGGGGCGTAGGGCGTAGGGTTCGCCGTGGGTTTGCCGTGGTGTTGGCTTCGTCCAGTTGGGCGCGTCGAGGAACACCGGTCCAGCGACACATTGAGTCGTCAGAGGCCCGGGCTCCTACAGGTGTTTGCAAGATGTATGGCTCCTGGGGCCCTCCACGGGTCCTGGGGCCGTCAGAGGAGTCCGAACGCGTGGCCGTGGCCGTGCCGTGCCGAGCCGTGCCCGCGTGCAGCGCCGTGCCGTGCTGGGCGTCCAGGCTGCGAAAGAGTTGCTGTCCAGTGCCGTGCCCGCGTGCCGCGCAGCGCCGTGCTCGGCGTGCAGAGAGGCGCCGCGCCCCGCCGTGCCCGCGCGCCGTGGCGCGCTCGGTCTCCAGGCAGCAGAGGAGCGGCCGTGCCGTGCCCGCGTGCCCGCGGCGTGGCGTGCCGGGCTCGGCTTCCAGGGAGCCGCAGGGGCGCCGTACGGTGCCCGCGTGCGGGGCTGCGGCAGAGGTGCGGTGCCGTGCCCCGCGTGCCGAGTCGTGCTGTGTTGTGCTTGATGCTGAGAGTGCGAGGCAGGTGCCGTGCCGTGCCGCGTTTTGGATTTCGGGGTGCAACAAAGTGACCGTGCCGTGTCGTGCTTGGTTTTCCGATGCTGCCGTGCCTTTCTCAGTGTCCGCAATGCGAAGAATTGCCGTCCGGTGCCGTGCTGTGCCGTGCCGTGCTCGCTGGATCCGTGGCCCCACAAATACATGCAATCGCGGGGCCTTCGAGAGTGCGCATTGCGCGAGCGTTCGTAGCACGAGGTTGCCCCCCTCAATCGGGGGGGGGCCTTCTTCATGCACATGGTTGAGCGCGTGCGTCCACGATGGGCTTCCTGAGCGACGCATGCACGCTCCGTGGACTCTTTCAGAGGAGCAAGTGGTTCCGATAACCTTCCCTCGTTTCGCCTTGTGTGGGCCTCATGGGGGGACCTTGTCGCCACGGCTGGATCAGAACGCAGCTCGGGAGAGGTCTGGGGAGTAGCAGTATCGGTACCTTTTGTCTCCCCATTTTTCTTCTCCAGACCACTTTCAGCCCATTTGAATGGAGTCGGCGCGACACCGATCAGGGGACTTGTGTCTTCCAGAACACTTCAAAGCAGTTCTGAGCAATGCAAATCAATTCGATGTAAAGCATGTCATGGTGTTGCTTGGCGTTGCCTGGAGTTGCTTTGCGTTGCTCGGCATTGTTTGGTATTACGTGGCTCTGCTCGGCGTTGCTCGGGCCGCAGTGCTGCTTGGCATTGCGTTGCTCTGCATTGCTTGGTATCGCCAAGCAGCGCCGAGGAGGTCCGAGTAACGCCAGGAGCGGCGATTGCCAAGCAACGTCGAGCAACAACGCCGAGGACCCCCAAGGAGCGCCGGCGGCAGAGGACCCCGCACCAACCGTTCTCTGTCACAAGCAAGTAGGGGACTACCCATTCGACAAAGGCTAGCAGAAGAAAGCAAGCAGTACTATGTTTTTGTTTGCAGTTTACGGCCTTCTGGAGGCGCACGCTTCATTCTCGAGACCAGGTTTCCTGGCCGAAGATATTTAGCTGCCTGCGGCAAGGCCCGCCACCGTGCCGACCCAACATTGATGGTGGCGACTGTTCGAGGGTGGGAAAGCCGTGATACTTGCCAGGTGCTAAAGTTTTTTTACCATCGGCGGGGAATTCCATAGCATTAGGATGCAGAAGTGCCCTGATGCGGATTCGCGAACCTTCGTGAGTTCTCTGGGATGGCCGGCCAGCGAAGCAAGGGCGACAGCGTTGGATAAGGATTCCCAGGGTCACACTGCGTCAAAGCGAGAACGAATCCAATGGACCATCGCGCCCACATGGGTATGACAGAGACGATGGCGAAGATGGCACTGAGAATTTCAAGTGGCCCATTCGAAGGGATTGCGACGCGAGTGGGTCCAAGTTGGAATGATTCCCAGGCCTGTTTATTATTTGGCGGGGTAATAATCACACCGTTGTGCACACGTATAGGTATGTGTATACATGTGTATTCAATTTATATAAGTGTATCATAATATTGTTACGGGAGGCGAGCCCATCAGATTCGGACCGCGCCCTGACCAAAAATTGGTCGCTACGATTATACGGGGGTCGGGGGTGTCCAAATATTGACGTCTGATGGCCAAAACTAGAGGACTCCCGTGACGATGCTAATGATGATGCGGTTGTTGGTGTTGGTGCTCGTGTTGGTAATGATGATAACGTTAAGTGTGATGATGATATTGATGTTGCTGCAGGGATGTTGCTACTGTTGATGGTGTCGATGCTACTGATGATGGTGTTGATGATGGTGATGACGATTATGGTGATGCTGATGATGGCGATTTGTTGTTCGTTTTGGTGGTGCTACTGCTGGTAATGAAGAGGGTTGCGATGATGTGATGATGGGGTGGAGGGTGGGGGTGAGGATGAGGATGATGGTTGTGGTGGTGATGTTGAGGAGAAGAAGCCATCACATATATGGTCGAGGGTCATATTTCGTCCTCACTTCCTCTTTTTCCTCCTCCTCCTCTTCCCTCGCCCTCGCGTGCTCGATGTGGGTAGTATCATCGGCTGCCTAGGCCTTGGGGATTACGTGCACATGGCACGCTGCGAATGGTTTCCAGGCTTTGGATGTGTCCGCGGGCTTGCCTATTGCAGGTCGGTTCGTGTGACGGTCCTGGAGCGCTTGACGTCTGCTGCTCTCCTCGTTTGCCCTCTCCCGCTCCTTTTTTTCCTCGTCCTCCTCTTCCTCCTCCCCCTCCTCCTCGTCCCCCCCTCTCTTCGCAGGTACTTGGCATCCAAGTTTACGTGGTCATTCATGGGATTTCTCGCGCCATGTATTTTCGAAGCCTGGTCCGAAGTAGGCTTTCCAGGCGATAGCAGCCTATCCCTTTTCGAACTGATTCGTGGTGGGAAGGGCGTCGCTTGGGGAGGCAACCTATATAAAAATAATATTTATATATATATGTCCAAGGTTTGGCCCCCCCCCCTTCCGTCATGCTGATGCCATCGGCCCCCCCCCCGCGCGATGGTACCCCCCCTCTGTGGGTGTCGTGTGGTGCTGTGGGTGTGGCGTGTGTGGCGTGGTACTGTAGTGTTCCAGGGTCCAGGGGAGCTCCGGAGGTCGTCGTCGTCGCCGTCGCCGCCGTCGTCGTTGCCGTCGTCGTCGTCGCCGTCGTCGCCTTCGTCGCCGCTGTCGTCGTCGTCGTCGCCGTCGCCGTCGTCGTCGTCGTCGCCGTCGTCGTCGTCGTCGTCGCCGTCGTCGTCGTCGCCGTCGCCGCCGTCGCCGTCGTCGCCTTCGTCGCCGCCGTCGTCGTCGTCGCCGTCGTCGTCGCCGTCGTCGTCGTCGCCGTCGTCGCCGTCGTCTCCGCCGTCGTCGTCGTCGCCGCCGTCGTCGTCGCCGCCGTCGTCG